TGCACACACGCTTACAATGGATGCTTAACAGCAGCCATTAGCAGCTTTGCCGAGTGGCATGTGCACATGTGTGTATCGGCATTGGTGTGCACACTTCCACACACTTCCACACACTCCCACACTCCCACACACACACACACAAAGAGATGATACACACAGTTATGCCATGACTTTGGTTACAACAATGGCAAAGTCCTTTTTGCCCAGTGGAAAACGGCGAGCGCACTTTATGAGCGGTGCATGCATAAAGTGCACAGGCAACCACTGTACCCGAGCTATGCCACCACCCGACGCTCATGAAGTGGTGTGGCATAAACCATCTCTTTTCCAATTTCCGGCAGTAGCTCAGGAAAACAGCAGCAGCACCAGCACCAACAGTAGCCAAGTGAGTTGAGACCATTTAGCTGCATTGTATTTGTGTGTCCGCCTCGCCAGGGTGTATCGTGGAGCATAACTCACACAACCCATAATACACACTTACACTTACACACACCAAATGGCATCAAAAGCGCATTAATAATGTGCTCAGGCAATCGAAAATGAGTTCTGTGTGCCGCCATCGCAGCCGCCGCTGCCTTTTTTGCCCAAAACAATGATAGTTAGCCGTAATCGGGAGCATGGCCATGGCTGCCGGCCATATGCGGCATTCTAATGAGCAGCAGCAGCAGCAGCTAAAGCGTTCAATTTAATCCCCTCATACCATGGCTGTAATCTTGTCAAGTAATTAATTTGTTCAATGACATCCTTAAGGTGTAAGCGAAACTATTTAAAGTTGATGACAACCGCGACGCAGATACTTGAAAACTCAAAAGTTACTACAAAGTGACGGCGCCCGCCAAGGTGTGCAGCGAGTGTGGGCGCAGGGCAGGTGTGTGCGTGGGTGCTGCTGGTGGGTTGGCTCAAGAAACTTGTCATGCATGCTCGGCGAAGTGTGTATCCGGCGTATTGCGCAAAGACAGTCAAGACAAATCGCACGCACCACAACCAAACCCATGTGCGAGGGCTAACACAATAATACTGGCAGCTGATAAGCTGATGTTATCTGAAATCGTTTTTCTCCCGCTGACAGATTGACTGAGTGCGAAAGTTGAGCTGGGAAACACAAGTGGGAATATATGAAACTTTATTCTCTATCATCCCAACGACTCTATTTTAATATTTTATGGTTTTGTGAAAAACTTTACAATAAGTATTTTATTAATTTACATTAAATTAAAAAATAAAATATTTTATTTATCTAATTTTTACCATTTGGTAAATATTGTTATTATATAAACAAACTTTCATCAATTGACTACTTTAACTTGAAATATTGTTAAGAAGTTTTGGAAGCACCCTCGCTGTAAGGACTTTGCCTAAGCCCCAGAACTCAAAGTATCTGCTGTTCTGGCTGCGTGTGAAATCGGAAGTGGCTGCTGCTGCTGCTGCTTCTGCTGACTTAGATGTAGTCGTCTGGAGTCCTTGGTCTCTCGGTCTGCTGGTCTCTGGGTCCGTCGGTCTCTGGGTGGCTCGGTCGGTGTGTCGATGTCGTCGCTGGGCGACAGGTGCTTCCGCATTTGAATGTCAACGGAAACCGCAACGGTACAACTTAGATAAACGTTTGCTCTTTAAATATGTGCGCTGTCGCTGGAGCAGCCATTGAGCATAAACGAGCTCAAGCCCGTCGCATGTAGGCATGTTCACATACTCACCCACACACACTCATACACACGCAGACATAAAGTACCTTTATTGAGCGGCAGTCACCATGTTTGAGCAACGGTCCTCGCACTTATGTGTCAAGCGAGCTTGAGAGCCCCAGCTACATGGTGAAGTGGTTTTTGGCTTTGGCCATGACTGTGGTTATGGACTGCGCCTGATTGGATGGGTCTTTGCTTAGCTTATTGCCAGCTCTAGAGGATGCCAACTTAAAGATAGCTATAATGTTTGCACTGTAAAATTGATTATGCACATGGAAAGGTGGAGAGACTTTAATTATAGATAAAGTCACCTACATTTGCTACACACATACAAAAGTGATTGAAATATTGCTTAGATATATATTTTTATAAACTATTTTCTTGCTATATACCATAAAAGTATAGTCATAGAAACGCCTTTAAGTAGAGTTTGTGAATAATATTAAATTCAATTATATTAAAATTATATTTAAGTAAGCTAATAAGTCAGAAGGCTTATCAAGGTTAAAGATAACAAAAAATATTTTTAAATAAATTCCCTTAATTAATTCCCTTAAAATATTTAACAAGTTCATAGAAAATTCCACAATTTAAATGTTCAATTTTCACTTTAGCAGAGCGACATTATGTCTAAAGTATCAGGATCTGCTGGATATTCAGTCGGTAATTCGATTATATTTAAATCAATTTTCATTCAATTTAGACAATTTCCTCTACGAATTAAAATAAGCCCACAACAAAACTGCAATCACCTGCCGTTTGCCAAACCCAAATAAGAATGAAAAACAAAATACAATTAGTCCAGCTCGACGAAGAATAAATACTCTTACCAGGCAGCATAGGCTGGTTATGCCTCTACTTGATATGAGATATTGATTAAAATATAGAAAAATTCTCCAAGAAAAGGATGGCTTATAGACAAACTTATAGAACAGATCTTTATCATGTGTGCTTATATAAGAAGAAACAAATTTATTAAGATATATTTGAAAAGAAGAAAAAAAATATTAAGCCTATAACCTCTAGCTATGCTTCAAGACTACTCTTTAAAGAAGTCGACAAACTATTTTTTATCTACTTGTCACAAAGCCAAGATACCCTCTGCAAGAGTATAACAAGCTCAAATGCTAAATTGCTAAAAATAAAATCAATTAACAATAAATGCGGCAATTAAATTCAATGTGTAGAACACAGAGAAATTTTTCAGCGTCACATAGAAAAACTGGGCACTTAATTAAGCCTGGTCGGCAATGCCAGCAGAAGCAGCCATACTCACGCCCAGGCCAGAAGCCACATTGACACTGTAGTACATGGGACAACGTGTTGCCGTTGCCGTTGCCCCCCTTTTTAAGTGCGAAACAATGTAATTTCAGGGTAATCAGTCTGGGCCGGTTTAGAATTTAATGCCAGGCTCAAACTGAAGAATTTACTTTTTCGAACGACGACTAACTACACAAATTTCCGGCTGTGCGCGCAAAGCCAATGGCAAATAGCCACCCAAAACGAGACTCTCGCAGCGGGTGCAGTCGATTCTCCACTTGGCCAGAAAAATGTCAGTTTACAATTTTCTATGCCATTTAAAATAAAATGAAAATTGCGCTCGTCCGAGCACTAGGGCGTGGCATAGTTTTAGGCGCTGGCCAACGCGTGTTAACGTAAATAAATTACATGGCAACACACATACACACACACTGGTAGAGTGGAAGCGACAATCAAGTGGTCAGTGGCATGCAGCTTATAAATCAGCGCAAAGCGCAAAACGTTGCTGCCTTTTGGGGCACGGCCAGCCATCGAGATAGATGGCCAGCAATGCGGGTCGGCCCCGGGTCGGAGAAATTGACAGAGTTTGAGTTGGCAATGGATGAGCGAATGAATGAATAGATGGATGGATCGTCTGTATAAATGGTTAGCTATTTAGTTTCGGTTTGCTGCGGTTTGACTTTGTTTGTCGGCTGCCATTGGCCCGAGTCGGCTCCACCCCTTTGGGCGGCATATAATGGCCCCGTTCGCCTTTAATGTTCGACCACGCCAAATGTAGTATGCATACATTCAATCCGAATTGGCATTTTGACAAACAGCACGACAATTAAAAGTTAACTTGCAGCCTGCTTGGCTTGCTGATAAAGCTCTTTGGCTATTGCGCGGCAATTGGACCATAAAATAATTATTTCAAACTTTTATTAATTAACTAAGTAGTGATAATGATAATACTTATCTTACTTTTTCTTACGTCTCTCATTCTGTCTTTAAATGTGTCGTCAGAGTCTGTCTTTAATTTTCTCTCTCTTTCTGTTACTCTCTCTCTATCTTTCCGCTCTCTCCATACCTCTCTCTCTCTCGCTCTTGCTATCTCTCTCTCCCTCTTTCTTACTCTCTCACTCTCTTTATCTCCCTCTATCTCTCTCTATCTCCATCCATCTCTCGCGATCTCTCTATATCTATGTATTTTTTTCTCTCTCTCGCCTTATCCCTCATTAAGGCTCTACTCTCTCACTCTCTCTCTCTCTCTAACTCTCCCTACCCTTCATTCTCTCACTAGCTCTCTATCTCTGACCCTCTCTACCCACTATATTCTCTCTTATTCACGATCTCTCTACCCTTCATGCTCCCTAATTTGACCCTTTAACCCAGTTGTCATTAGCATCCATTATATTATACGACAACGAGCCGCACTCCATCCCTTGCGAAAATGTGTTTATTACAAAGTCAACCCGAATTTAAGCTTTCAGGTCGTTAAATACGTCTTACAAGTCGCCTGGTTAGCTGACAATTGTGACATTTCTCAGAAGGCGTGTGCAAGAACATGCGCCCAACACATACTCATAAATACATGGCCGGCATTCCTTGGGTCTTGACGGCATTAACAACAGTAACCATCTAAGTAACTGCCGCAGTTGTCTTGTCGCTGCTAGGAAAGAGGGAGAGAGGGAGAGTGAGACTGCAGCAATGCCATAGATAGTTGTGGCCAAATGCGAGTAACTGGCACAAAGCGGATCGGCACAAGAGCCAAGCACAAGCTGCACATACGAGGCTAGGGCTGACTGCCTCAACTGGTGCACAGATACAAGTTAAAGCTTTAAGCTCTTGCCTGGACTATTGCTATGCAAGTATTTGAGCAAGTTATTTAAATGGCTTTGTGTTGCATATTTTTTGGCTTGGCGCACTATTCGCCGCCGCTAGAGCCCCAAGCAATCAAGCGTCTCGACTCGTGTCGCCGTTGTAGTGGGAAAAACACAGCTGCCCATTGAAGCAAACAAAAGCCCCAAACACCGACGAAGATAAGCTCAGTGCCTCGCACTACAAAAGCAAAAACCGCTCGCTTAGCTGAAGCCAGTTACCATGAGGGCAGCAACGTCTCAAGTCAAGCAGCTTATCTTACTGTTCATCGTTTGTGGGGCACTGGGCGGCAGCCACGCCTACGACGTGCCCAAGGTGACTGTCAAGGTGAACAGTCCAAAGGGTTTCGAGGTCTCTGTGCCAGACGAGCAGGGCATTTCACTGTTCGCCTTCCATGGCAAACTCAATGCAGAAATGGAAGATCTGAGCGATCAGACCTGGGCCACCGATATCGTCACTGCGCGCAATGGACGCTGGACATATATTAATCGGCTGCAAAAGCTCCAGCCAGGCGATATACTCTACTACTGGGTTACTGTCCGATACAATGGCCTGGACTATCATGCATATAACCAGAGTTATCAGGTAGGCCTCGACGATGCCAAAAGCCACAATACGACCCTCAATATAATCAAAAAAGATGGAACCAATTCGCAAATCATTATCAATGGGAATCCCACCATAAATATCTATATTTCATAACTCTTAAAACTTCCCAGCCAGCGGCCAAAAACAGTCAAGTCTAGCTTAGCAAATTCTAATTGTGTTTAAAGTATTAATTAGTGAATACACGAAAAGCAATTGTTCAACAAAATTATTGGTAATATAATGAAATTAGTAAATAAATTAATGATTCGATAAAAAAAAAACTTTTATTTCTTTTATCAAAAGTTTGAGAAAACGCAAATATTTTGGTGAGAATATTTATAAACATATACACTGTAATAAAAAAAATATATAAATATATATGCGTAGGTATATAGTGATTATTACATATATATAATAACATTTGGTAATCTTTTGCATTAATTAAAGATTTAAAAACTTAAGTTCTTCAGTGGGAACCCCATTAAATGTTATTAATTCTAAACATATTTATTTATATCTGGTTTGCCTTGCCTTAATTAACATTTGAATGCTTGTTTTTGCATAATGATATCAATTTCGTTATTAATATTTCTGTGTCGTATTTGCCTAATAATCAACTTAACTGCTTAATAACCTAACCATTTTAAATTTAAGAGTCAGTCAACCCATTTCATTCAACATTTAACTTTAATTGCACTGTAGGGTAGGGCTGGGAGCATCCGATTGAAGTTCGTCAAAGAACATAATCTTATTTCGACTTTTATTTGTGAAGTTCAAAAAAATGCTGAGTAAATCAACTTTAAATAGTGTCAAATCATATATATTATATATATGACATAATTGTGCATATTTATATAACAGAAAAAGGAAAGTATGTGCTATTCCATAGAGTAAATCCATAGAGTACATCCTTAGTCAAATCAATTCTGATTATGGCAAATCAGTTATTAAACTTTATTAATTGGCATAGTAAACAAATTTTATACAATATACACAGAGAATCAAACTATCATTAGCTGGATGCATCTCCATACATCTCTGAGTGTCTCATAGAATATTTAATAGCTTATTAATCAGAAATATTGCTACTTACTTTTCTAGACTGCACAATCCCTATTAGTTAATTGCCTGTGTAACCCAGTTCCCAAACCATTTAGTTCCTTGAATTACTATAAACAAACCCGAACTCCACTCACCCTTTGCGCACCTTTTTTGATTGAAAATTGATTCAAAATATTTGTGCTCTATTAAATATTTGAGTGTTGCCAATAACAACAACAAATTTTGGACTCTGCACATGTCAAACTCATTGCGCAATGCATTGTTTTCAAAAGTGCCATAAATCAAAGGAGCACTTTGTCACAGATACGCAAGTAAGTATCCGGGACATATAAATCATTTTGGAAAGTTCTCCGCATGCGTGTGAAATACTGTGCGAGTAATGGCTGCTTCAAAATTACCGCAATGCATTCCAAATGCACAGACTTCAGCCAAAGCAAATAAGAATGCAAGCTGGATGAGTGCCTGACTAAGTGTCGCCCTGCAGCATCGATAGAGATGCCACTTATAATCCAACCCGCTTCCCTTATATTAAATACAAGTTGCTTCCATGACTAACAGAACTCTTGGCACATTGAGTTTCCCAGGGTAAAAACCATATTTACAATTTTCAAACTGCCGATATCCGTACTCAGATGGGGATTTAATTGAAAATTTTGAATGCTAATTGCATTCTTCACATTCTTATGGCAAATCAAACAAATTTTGTCTTAAAAAAATTCAATTTTACTTTTTAACTAATTCTGTTCAGTATTGTAGTGATCAATTGTAATACATGCTTATATTTAGCAATTGCACGTCTTTTAAATGCCTCAAAACACATTTTATATCCATTTAAATTTCAGATTCATAATTGTTCTCCACTCACCAACGATCGCATCACGATGACTACATCATTGCCAACCACAATGGAGGCAATAAATCAATAATTGTTAATTTAAATGCAATAAAACTGTGTTTACTTGTTCAAAGCCACAAAATAATATTTAATTTTAATTGAGATATTTTTAATTGTAATATGCGAAAATGCTTATAAAATTAATTAAGAATGTAGTATACGAGAAAATGTTATGTATACGTAACTTTGTTCCTTAAAATGTAAACTTGGACTTATTTCGTCTTAAGCTTCATAAGAACTTTATCAAATTTATAGGTAATTTGCCTAGAAATAATTCTCTTCAATTATGTTCAGTTCGCTATCTGAAATGCTTTGCGGACAAAGTAAATCTAAAGGATAAGTCTGGCCAAAAGCTGTTCGGCTTAAGCCTATTTATATCCATAATACCCACTTTTAGGGTCGTCTCCCTCTACTAGTTACAAACATTACCACAACAGCTGAATGCCCGTTTTTATGCTTTAAATTGGCATAGAGTAAAAAGGTAAATAAAATAAAAACGAAAGGAAATAAAAAAGAATAATGCACAAAACTATTCACGCAGGTAGTTCTGATATCTGAATCGAGCAATGGCCTTTTGCTGGCAAATATACGAGTAAACAACTGCATAAAGGTTACTTTTGGCCCATTTAACTTTCACTTGAGCCAAACAAAAGCAGATAAAACTTTCTGCTTAGCCAGAGCAAGCACAATACAAAGTAACAAATCCATTCGACTTTTATCTGCACAAGTGCTTAGAAGTTTTTCTCGTTCTTTTTTCCTTTCAAAGTGCTGATATCTGTTGCTGCTGTGCTGCTTGAAGAAAAATGACAAATGGATATTGGTATTTTGTAATTATTGTGTAGAAAATAAAGTTGAAATAACTTCTCTATATATGAGTGCGATTCTAGCTTCAAGTTGTAAATGAAATTTTAATTTTGTAAATATTTAAAGTAGCGCATAAAGCCTTTCTAAATATAATTATAATAAAAATAATATTAAAAATAATAATAATTATCATAGTCCCTTTAACTAAAGTCAATTATATATTCTAGTGTCCTGTCCCAGTCTTCTTATGCAGTTGACTGAAATTATATTCAAATGTTGACAATATATTTTGTGAATATCTTGATATAAATTAAATATTTTGCAGCATAAATTAAAAATATACATAAATTGGGTGTAATTCTGCCCAGTGGGCATATCAGAATCAATTTTTTGTTTTGTTTTCTTTAAGTGCATTCACAACGCAGCAAGTCCCAAGTTTGTGTTGTCCCTAATCTACTCTATACATTCGGTTGCTTTTATAACTCGGTTTCGCTCCATGCACTCTAACTCTACAGCACTAGAAGATTTCCACATGAACTTGTCATTGTCTCGTTCTCTTCAATCTCCGCTTTATTTCATTCTTCTCTCATAATGTAAAGCTACTTACCAGTTCTTCAAACTAATGCTAAACCAACATTCAATATAAATCAAATATCCATTTTATCCATTATATTTTTATATACTCTTTTATTCTCAGAATTTATTTTATAATCTTATTATCAACAAGTTTTGTATTATTAAATAAACTCTACTATTAAAGTACTCGTCTCGCATGCTGCTGCATACGTCTTAATATTAACTAAATATCAAATATATGAAGGCAATCTAAACGTTTGTTTCCATTTAAAACAAATTCTGAAAAAGCCCTGACCACAGCTAATTATAAGTTAGGGCTGACTCAGGTGCTAAGGTTCCATTAGTCGTGCGGCCTGCTTTATATGAGAAAGCAACTGCAGCTTGTCCGGTTTGCGCTTGACCTGTGTGCATGACCGCTTTTAGTGGGCACATTTGAGTGTAGACAGAGTTCCTGAAACATGGCCGAAAAGAAAAGTACACAAAGCTGAGTAGAACTTATACATAAATATGTAGAGTACGAAGGGATGCAGGATAAGAGGCATATTAATTAATGCCGACATTTGTGGCAGCTGCATTTGTCACAGCTCATTTGTGGTAAATTAAGCATGTCGGCCAAAAGGTAAAGCTCATTTTAATTTTCACATATCCTACGGCTCTCACATAGTTCACTATATATTTATATATATATATATATATATATTATATATAGTGTATTTGAGTTGCACATGTATGTGAAATGGGGGCAGCTAAGTGACGCTGTCAGCAACATTTGCGAACTGTTCTCATTTTCTCATTTCGCGCCATGTGTGGGAGTTACAAAATGCAAGCTAGCTGCAAGTTTGTGTCACTTGTCACACGCACACATACACCCTATTTAAAGCCGCTCCCACACTCATGCTTCATTTAACTTACACACACACACATTTACAGGCTTAAGCACTTATACAGACCAGACACTTTGGACGCCATTTCGCACGTGGCAAGGCGTTAAAATGACTTGTGACAACTTTATGTGCAGCCCGCAGTTGCTGACGAATCCCCTCCTTTCCTACGCCAAAAAAAATACTGTCACAAAATTATGTCATCAAGTTGCCAGCAGCTGAGGCATAAAATACGCAGCTTTAATTTTAATGTTTACACTGCAAAACTATAAAAATTTCATTCACAATTTTAATCACAAAGTTCCCACAACATTTTTTTACGTTTCGCTCTTTGTCTTAGAGCAAACTAATTGTTCTTTACAAACTTTAAGTCTACTTAATTAATGCACATAAGTCATAAAAATTAAATAATTTTTTAATGCGTCTAAGACATATTTTTATCTGGCAGGCGAAGCTAGCCAAACCTCTAACAGCAGAAGGCTCTTCTTAATATCTTAAGTTACTTGTTTATCTCTCGTCTAGAAATATTTAAATATTTTTAGCATTTTTGCTTGTTTTCTACAAACAAAGCTACAACTACAGAGTACTCAAATATCCCCCATTTCAGTTCGAGACAACTCTAGAGCAGGAAGCCATAAGCTCAAAGAGCAGCCAATGAAAAAAGTCTGAAGTATGGCAAATTAATTATAAAAAATTCCGGCAAGTTAAATATTTTTCTCCAGTTAAGTTCAAAGTTGCGAGTGGAGACGCCCCATTGTAAAATAAGTTGCGACTAACTTGACGCACATTTGTCACACACACACACACACACATCGTCCTGACAGGCAAGAGTCAAGGGGTTAGACCCACAGCTACGTCTACAGGTGGCAATGGCAGTGGCGCTTGTCACTTGTGGAATTTGCGTAGCTGCGGGTGGCCCCCAGCCCAACTGATGTATGGCACTTTGAAATTAGTAAGAGTGCAAAATATAGAACGCACAGCGGGACACATGGTTCGCATTTTTCAGACTCAGCAGAAAAATTGTGCATAATGTGTATTACTTTGTCATAGTATTCCAAATGTCATGGTTGAAGTGCGAAAGGGGAAGCCGATGCCGAACTGCTTGACCTTTTGCTGAAGTGTCTATTGTTATACTTGGATAAGTTATGCAATAAGTTAGACAAGAATGAAAGCCTAGCCAACTCTAGAAACATTTAATAGACTTGCAACTAAAGGAATAGTTAATGCAGACTTTAATGAAAAATATTTTAGTTGATGAAAATTAGAAATTGATTCAAAACATGTGCCAAAGAGTAAAGAAATTTCCATTTCTTTGCAGTCTTCTTGCTCATATGTTCTGTAAATAATCTACAAACATTGTAATAGACTTAAAGTTTGAGTTTATATATTACTATCTATCAAAACAATAGTAAGAATTGGCACGAAATCCCATTTATCAAAGGCCGACTCGGAGAAAAGCTTTACGCTTATCTCTAGTCGACTTAATTTGCATAATTCTCAGAACAATCGTGCTCAAACAATGAACATAAATGAATAGAGACCTGAGTATACATTATTGAATTCTTCTTCTATCTACCAGTTGACAGGAAATACGTTTAATTGCAAGCTCAAATTGTGATTAGGTCATCAGTAGAAGTATTTTCGAACAAAATTTGAGTGCGCATTTACTTATGTGTATTTATTAAGGCAACTTGTATCTATAAGCATATATACTCGATATATATATAGTTCAAGCTCCCGCATTGCCTTTGATATACTAGAAATGTATATTGCCCAGGCTGTGCTGCAGACTTTCCTGTAGCTGCTTCATTTGTTCGCTGAGCTCCGCCTGTAAGTTCCTTTGCATTTGGGCCAAGTCTTCTTGTACCTTGAGAGCCTGGCGTGCCGCATCCTCCTGGATCTGCTTTCGGTTGTCATACGAATGACGATTGCCGCTGAAGAGCCCGCCATCGGCCTTGGCCAGCACTGTGCCATCGGCTAGCTCCACAACTATGTTGCCATTCTCGTACTGCACTGTCGCCTGTTGGCCATTGATGTCGACCTGCTCCTGGGACTTGACGCTAGCATCCTTGGCGGGGAAGTTATAGACCTTGCCGGCAACTGTCAGCTGTAGTCCGCCGTCGACAATGCGAATCTGGTAGTTGTTATAGGTCTGGTAGCCGCCCTCACCAACCTGATTCATGAAAAGTGCTCCACCATTGCTTGAGATGAAACTCTGGCCACCTCCACCTAAATGACGACCATTGATAATAACATTATTGCCGCTAAATTCTGTTAGGATGTCGTCATCATCATCGATCGACGTATCCTCATCACTGTCACCAGCTCTAGTTACAATCGTCTGACCGTTAGCTCCGACCAGGACCTTGCGTCCGTCCGGCCGCGTAAAGATGCTGCCAGCTTCGTTTTGCAGCACAACATTGCCACCCCGATTGTACACCACACTGGGCACAGGTTGCGCTGGCTGCGCTGGGCGCTCCTCCTGTGGCACCGTTGTGCCGGGTATAGACGTCTCCACGCCATTGCTATGATCCACATATGTCTTAGGCCTATCAGTATTTGCTGGTTGTGCTGCAAATAGGACTATCAGTCTGAAGTCTAGATAAATTAGCTTTTAGAGTATTTACCGCTGGCCAAGCAAACGGCAAGTGCAATTAGCCCGATCATCATGAGAACGCGAGTCTTGTCCATTTTGTGCAACGGGTTGACTATATCAATGCAGGGCTCTACGCTCGCTATTTATACGAGCGATCGATCGAGTATAAATCGCCGTTTATTCAGTATAGTATTGAACGTATGGGTAGATATCGCACAGAGGTCGACGGTATGCAACCTCTGGGGAAAAAGCCAGAGACGATTATGACGCGGCGTTGCGCTTCTACACGATTTGCGGTTGTCGAGCGCACTGAGATCGTCTCGAAACTGTCTCCCAAGTTCAGCTCACGCCTCACTTACGACCAAAACTTTGAGTGAGTAACTGAACAATAAACAACGCCACAGAGAACATCATTTAAACTACCGCAAAAACTTATGGCGTATATACATAAATTGGCAAATAATTGAAAGAGCGACAAAAAATTAAAAATAAAATAACAAAATTATAAACAATTTAAATTCAAATGAATTGTGTCAATTTCATGGAGCCCAAACAGCATAATGAAAAAATATCAATAGTTACGCCGTCCTATGGAATGACCGGCTAAAAGTTGCCCTTTATCTACTGCTGAGCTATCTTTAGAGATATTTCTGTGCAGAAGAGACTTACTTCAAATGACCTTTATATAATCTTTTCTACACACTCTCAAGTACTTATAGCTACAGGGTATTTCTAAGTCTGTTATATGTTACATATTATGATTAAGACTTTAGACAAGAGAAGTTTATAATATGTACTTTTAAATGTACAATTCGTCTTAACTGCTAGTACATACAGACACGTATGTATGTACCTGTCAGAAGTAGCGCAAATAGCACTTGGGAAATCCCCTTCATGGCAAACATTTGCATTCGCACCTCAGAGAATACTTGTTTCTTTTGGCTTACTCGTACGTAGTTAGGTCGCAAGTTTATCGCTCAGATGGGGAATACACATAAGAATTCTGATTGCTTATCAGCTTGTGAGACAAAGAGCGCGTATTTGTATACATAAGTATGTATGTTACGTATGTGCATATATGTTCATGTATTTACTTTAATCGAACACAATAAATATTTTACTTAAGCTTGAATTATCAGTATTCTTTAAGTGTCGTACTTCAAATGGCCTTCACATTGATCATTAACTAACAGCATTCAACTCACAGAGCTTCTTTAAGCTCTTGAAAATTTCTTTTACATAAATATAAATTTTAATATATATCAAACTATATTTCAAGCAATAGAAGAGAAAAGTTCAACACAGAGAAACCCATACTCGTTCAAAGTTCATGATATATATATACCATATTCTATATATAGAATATCAAATATGTGTGAATTGAATCTAAAACTGAAATTCAAAAGGCACATCTATAATTCACATGCAATACCCATTGAAAATGGGAAATCAGGTTTATTAAATTCTATGTAACAATCTGAGGCAGACCATAAAGTCTGTCCGACTTTTTAAAATATGTTCCTGTCATGTTTGTAATGTAATAACTCAACTCATTTCTATATTTTTAATAATAGTTAAAATTTGGCTTTTAAGACTTAGCTTATATAAGATTTCAAAATTCTTATGACAAATATAAATACTTTTAAGGTTGTGGACATTCAATTTGAAAAAAATTTAATATAAAAGTAGAAGCTGTCAATTTCATTAAGAATGTGCATCGAGAACAAAATTTATTCGACAATTAATTTCGCTTAGTAAAGTCCATACAGCAGCCGAATGCAACCGCTGCATAAAGTGCGCAGTATGCAATGCACTGGCCTAAGTGTGTGTGTGTGTGTGTGTGTGTATAATAAATGCGCAGGGTTTCGGGTATTTTCTAGCCGGGCACTTCCGACTAGAGCACACTTACTGTCTATGCGCTATGTCGTATATTTAAAATGAGAGATCGGTCTGAGTTCAGGGTATCTTTCCATCGGGCACTCCCAACTAGAGCTTTCTTAAAGTGAAAATTAAAAAAGCTTCAAAACAATTTTTGAATTGATTTGCATAAAGATTAGATGATTTTATAGGAAGTAAAATTTAATTATAAAATCTAAGCACATATATTGATTATTCTTAAAGTACTGAACGGTATATTTAATATTGATAAACGATAAGCAATCATTTAATAATAAACAGTTAAACGAAAATCGTGAAATCGAAATCAATTTTTAATACAGCTCATAAATTAAGCAACTACAAAATGTACTATTTTTCATATGCTAAGTTATAAAAGTCAGTCGTATGATCAATTAATAGCGCCATTTGCCAGCACCATTTGAATGTTGAGCATTGTATGTAGAATCGGTTGACTGATCATGGCCCCCATTCCAGGCTGGACCGCCGCTGGGTCCCTGGTTCGAAGATGGGCCCCAATTAAGTCCAAAAGGCAGTCCATTGACAGCTAAATATATATACATATATAAATTAATATATATACACTTTTATGTATATAAACTATACATAGGAACACTTACCGCTGAGCAGTGCAACGAGCAGCAAAAGCACGAAAATAAATTGATGAATATGCTCCATGGTCAAGGCAAGAAGTTCAAATGAATGAGCTTTAAATAACACCACGCCTTTATATAAATGTGTTTTCAGAGAGGGGTACAATGTGTTGCAGTCAGAAGAGTAAACATAATACAAAGTCTTTGGTCAGACAATCAATCTATATGCATAATGCGATTGTCGCTGTCTGCTTTTACTGATTATCATGATCTTATTTGTTTACTTTATAAATACCCTGTACCTCAACTCAAAATTGTGGGTATAACAATTTTGAATATATATAATGCAGAACAATTGAAATAATATTTATTTATTCTATTTTATTATATTTTATTTTTATTTTATTTGTATTTTAATTTTTTAATTTATTTATTTCTACTTTTATTTTTTTTATTTAATTTTTAATTTTTTTTTTATTACCTTTGTTCTAGTCGAGCATATCTGCCCACATATTTCATATGGCTGCTAAGTTCACATGAAGCAACGCTCCCGTCTGCTCTCACTCTCTTCGCTATCTCCTCTCTCTGCCTCTCTCAGCTCACATGCTAAGGCAATTAAGAAGTTTTGCTATGTGTCTGCTAATTATTTTCAATTGAATAGCTTTGGGTGGAAGGTAAAAGTTTTTGTATTGCTGGCCATTAAACATATCGGCTGTTGGCATTCATTGAGCAGTCACATTAGCCCCACTTGAGCAGGTGAGCAGGTTGTGAGCTTTTGTCTGGCCACCTGCCCTGCAGCCCACTACAGCTGCCCCACCCAACTGCAGTTTACGCTATGCTATGCGTCAATTCGGTTTTACTTTTTTTTTACTCGACTGCGGAGCAAGTTGAACAATAAAAATTAAACAGGTTTTGCGATGTTGTTGATGATAGCTGCCATAGCTGAGCTGTGTTGACTGCTCAAATGTGAGAATAAAACATGAGCAATAGAGAATGAGAGAAAGAACGTGGCTCAAATGAGCTAACACTATAAAGTGCTTTTTCAATAACGTGTGGGAGTCAGATACAAACAGAGAACAAATTTTATTTTGCAGCAGTTGTAAATTTAAGATGATTAGAGCTTTAAATTAAATATAGAAAAAATTTGCATTATTAAAATTTAATTTTAATTTTTTTCATTTTTGTATTAATAATTTTAAGTCATTTTTATATATATTTATTTTTATTAAATAAAATATTTTTTTTTATATTTAAAACCTCTATTTAATAATAAAAAGCCCTAGTGAAACGCCCATTTTATTTATTTGAAAATTATTTCATATTAATTTGAACCTGAGGCCAGAGAAATGCTTTCACTTTCCCTAGCTTTTCCAGCAGGAAAAGTTAAATACATACGTTAATAATACACAGATTAACATATGTAACTCATAAATAACAATTCAGTTTTATGTTCTATAATGTCTCAAACAGTTGTTCATGAAGTAAGTAATGAACTAACTGAGTTCGGAGTCCACTTGGCTTAGATGCAAACCTCTGTTCCCAATTGCCTTTGCCACCAAGTGACTTATTATACAAAAACTAGCACAAGTCCAGAGCAGTCGGTAAACAATGATCAAAGGCCAAACAATAATGCATAGACCATTAAAAGGACGCAGTTGCATTCAGTGGCAAATATATATAAGCTGCGACTAACTGTTCGACAGGTTCTGGCTAACCTGCTGGGTTTCTGGTCTCTGGTCGGGTGCGTTGCGGTCCAGTCGAGCCTGGGGCGTTCACATTGCTGCTTTTGTTGTTCGAATCGAATCAATTTGATTTTCCAATCAATTAAACTTTATATATATTGCGTCTGGGCGGCTAAATATAGCAACAACAGCAACAATTGCCACAAAGCATTGCTATGTAGAAATGTGCTTCACAGATAACAACCCGAGTGAGCGAGGCCATGCACCGAGCACTGTCTCGCTCGCTCTCGCTGCCCCTGGCCAATGTCTCCATCAACGCCTGGCTGCACAAGCACAAAAATGCTAGTTTCCGAGTTCAGGTTTGGTCGAAATCGGAATGGGGAGCGACTATTGCATATTGCATGACTTTGACTGCATTTTTCAACTTGCAGCTCTTTGCGGAGACAACAGACGCATAAATCAGCAAATCAATTTCAACAATTGTTAGCTTTATCTGTATCTATTGAAAGAACAGAACAGCTGTCAGTTCAAAGTTCAATAACACTTGGAATTTCAATCAAAACTATGGATTATACATTTATTTTATTAATTTCTGCAGGTTATACAAAAGGTCCTCTGCTGCCGCTACTATTTATTAATCCATTGGTTACCTGATTTCCGAACGGGCCTCGGCTTTGCCCTTCAGATATGACACCCTGTTGATCGCCATTAAACGGCCCTCCACTGCTGCCACCTCTTATTAGACCGGATTCTGTTCTACCAAAAGGTCCTCCACTGCCGCCACCTGTAACCAGGCCAATTGTTGGCGGATCTGCAAAAGGACCTCCGCTTTGGCTTCCTGATGTAATACTCTCACTGCTGCTCCTTTTTAATCGACCTAATCCAAAGGGACCTCCATTACCGCCACCGCTAATCAATCCATCTGCAGCCATATTTCCAGCATTTGCTAAAGGTCCCCCGTTTGGACTTCCAGATATAATACCTTCGTGCTCAACATTTACTTTAAAGGGACCTCCACTGTTACTGCCACTTATTAATTCAGCTCTGCCTTGGGAAAATGGTCCTCCATTGCTTCCGCCGTTTATCAGACTATTTCCAAAAGATCCTCCTGCTATGGCCCTCCACTGTTGCTACCAGTTATTAGTTCAGATTTTTCTTGTCCGAAGGGTCCTCCATTGCTTCCGCCATTTATCAGACCATTTCCTAAAGATCCTCCATCCTTACCTCCTGCTATAGTACTTTGCTGATCAACATTTAATTTGAAAGGCCCTCCACTGTTGCTACCAGTTATTAGTTCAGATTTTTCTTGTCCGAAGGGTCCTACATTGATTCCACCATTAACCAATCCCTTCCCAGCCGCGTTCTGAGAATTTCCAAAAGGTCCACCATTTTGATTTCCAGATATGATGCCTTCCTGAGGAACATCAACCTTAAATGGTCCTCCACTGTTGCTACCAGTTATCAATTCGGATTTTCCTGATCCAAATGGTCCTCCACTACTGCCACCATTTCCATTTCCCAAGGGCCCACCGCTTGGATTTCCTGATATGACACCCCCATGATTATGTCCAAATGGTCCTCCACCCCTGCCGCCGTTAACCAATCCATTCCCAGGCGCATTCTGAGCATTGCCAAAAGGTCCACCATTTTGATTTCCAGATATGACACCTGCCTGACCAACATTAACTCTAAACGGTCCTCCACTGTTGCTTCCGCTTATTAAATAAGGCCCAGGAGGCCCGCCATATTGTCTACCAGATATAGTATATGATCTTCCACCATATCCAGATCCTATGAATCCATTTGTACCTTGTCTAAATGGTCCTCCGGTATTGATGCCGCCGTTGCTATTAATGTAAGGGCCTCCATAACTATTTCCATATAAAATTTGTTGCTGCGTAGCTGTCAGCAGCATCATCAACAGCAGCAGCAGCGGCTGCAGCATCACTGAATGTCTCATCTCGCTGCTATACAAATGTGAACTGAACGACAAAGTTCGATACGAGCCGAAAAAATTGATTTTTTCGTTTTTGCATAACAATGAGAAGTAAATAAAGTAAACAAACTACAAACAACTAATCTATCAATGGTTGCAAACAAATAAAACGACATAAGTCCAACTGGGCCTTGGCTGCGTTCAACTGCAAGCTGAATCAGTGGGAGTCAATAGATTAGTCTATGAGTAGAAGATGATTGATCTATAAGATTTATAAATCTACAGATCTATTATCATTAAAACCAAATAATCTTGAACGGATGTACAAAAATTTAAATTGATTTACCTTGAATCTATCTCGATCTCTCTCTCTCCCCTCTGTATCTCCCTCTCTCTCTCTCATTAGTTATTTGCCAAAACCAATATTTTGCTAAGCAAGTGCTAACTGAAACTTCAACTGAGATTTGTTGTTTACTGTGTATTTGTTAAGCTTTAATGATCATTTTATTTTGATATCTCACTAAGCCACAGTCTATACGCCCCCAATTGAGTCTCACTCTGTGCCCCGAACCATCATCAAATTATATTGCAATATATTTATGATAAATATTATTTTGAGTGATTTTTACTTGAGAAATTTTGTTAATTAAGATCTTAAGATTAACTATTTAATTTTTAACTTAAATTAATATAGAAAATATCAGAGCATTAATAGATAGAAAACTCAAAGTTTTAGATATTGAAAGATCGCTTGGACTATATAAAATATTTAACAGGGTATTCCTTACTGAGCTTTTGCCTTCCACTATTAGGTTTTCGTAGCCCTGATTCCATTCAAAGACTTTATTATTGCTCTGTGGCTGGTCACACTGTTTCGCTGCCTTAAATAGAAATCTATTTATATTTTTTTTATATATCAAAAAATAGTCTCAAATTCATGAAATGAGCATTTCACCAAATGCTGCTGGTTTTGTATTAAATAGCTCTCAGCTGTCGACATGGCGCTCCGAGTTCTTTAACCTGCCATTGAATCGCCTGGCGCTAAATGTGTGCACCCTTGGTGATCCCATCATTGCCAGTCAGCGAGCGAATCTGCAGGGATTGGCGGTGGCTGGCAAGGAGCACTATGCGGTGACCAAGCTGAAGAAATCCACTGTCGGCGGTCCAATTTGGATCTGTACTGGGCTCGACCTGCTGCGTCAAAGCTTGCGTAAGGATTACGAACTCTCAGCCCCGTATTTATTTTATTGGCACAAGCTCGAACGCTGTAATTATTTCCTCAATACTGTGATCAAGTGTCTGGCGCGGCACGAGCCAGTTGATGGACGCACCTTTAGGTACCTGATGAAGCACACCGTGCCCGATGGCGGCAACTGGCAGATGTTTGTTAATCTAGTCAAGAAATACGGCGTAATGCCCAAGGATTCCTATCTGGCCAGCTGGTCCTCAACTCGCACATTACATCTTAATCGGATGCTCAGGAGTAAAGTATGTGTCCCTCAGCCTGCATGCATCGTTGGCTTCAGACTAATTCATAATCTTTTACAGCTGCACGAGTTTAGCAGCCAGCTGCATGCGCAATTCATCTTAACTGGGAATCCCCATAAGCTGGCCCTAATGGTTGAACCCATGGTTGAAGAGCTTTACAAAATAATCAGCATTTGCTTGGGCACGCCGCCCACGAGCTTCACCTTTCACTTGAAGGACGAGAACCAGGATGTGCAATTGACGCCACTCAGTTTCTACGAGCGCATGATAGCGCCCTACTTTGCGCTCGATGCCCAGGTGAGTCTCGGCCATGATCCCCGGCCGAGTTCCAGCTATGAGCGCAACTATTGCGTTGCCCACAGCTCCAATATGATGAGCGGACTCGAGCAAAGCTACAATAATCAGCCGATGGATGTGCTGCTTGAGGTGATGACAAACTCTCTGGCCGCTGGCTCGCCTGTGTGGCTGGCCTGCGATGTCCAGCTAATATGCAAGAACAAGGTGGGTGTGCTCAGCCTGAAAGCGCACAACTTTGAGCAGGTCTTTGGCATGCCAGTGGGCACAGATCTAGACAAGGCCGACCGAATGCTTTATAAGGCCACGCGTCGCAATACAGCGCTATTGGTGACCGAGGTCTCGCTGGATGCACTGCGCCAGCCGCTGCAATTTGGCACAATGCGCAGGACATCAGAAAACGATGCCACCAAGAAGACGGAATCCAGAGACAGTATAACGGAATATGTCGATACCGTTAACGCAGCCAAAGGAGATGCAGCCAAAGCTGATGCAGCCAAGCGCAAAATGGCCATCGGCAAAGCTACCGTCCTGCACGTCGACTGGCTGCGGGAGTATGCCTTTGAGATAGTCGTCGACGCACGCTTTGTGCCGCCAGCCGTGATGAACGCGCTCCGTACCCAACCCAGCGAGGAACTGCCCATTTGGGACCCCATGGGCGCGCTGCTCAGTTGATGAATGATGAGTCCCCAGATAGAACCTGTTCAGGGCTGGCTATCTACTAGTTCAACAGCTCATCAATTTAAAGTGACAACATGTCATTTGACGAACTCTTTCGATTTTAGCTCAAACATAAATTATGGCTTGAAATGAAATTTAGCAGGAAACTATATTTAATACTCGAAGATTAACAATAAAATAAACATAAAATTTAAGATAATTATATTACAATAATTAGGAATGTCTTATTTCAAATATATATTCAATTACTAAGCTAAATTGTACAACTACAAATTATTTTTGTATTTTTATTTCATTTAAATGTTTTTGAAATATTTCTTAAGCTCCGAAAATAATTTTTAAAACATATATATAGAATAATTATTTTTTTTTAGTTTATTGAAAATGTAGTAAAATTTTATTATTTAAATAAAAATTAATATTTTAATTGTATATAATAAAAATATATATTTTTTTGTTTATGAATAAATCATTTTATATTTATTTATTATTATATTATTTATTATAAATTTCTTATTTCATATTTAATATATTTTACATCAACTTTATTGTTAGAATTGTTTTAAAAATATAAATCAAAGACAAAACAAATACTTAAAATTAGCGTGAAAACAGCTCATGAACCGAACTAGTTCATAAATTCTTCACTCTCTCTTCAGATGCTGTCGAGTACTGAAATTATTGGAAAATCTTGCCGTGCAACTGACGAGGCGCGACCTTCGCTAAGATTTCGGGAATTAGACTTACGTGCCGAGCATGCCTAATTAGGCATTAGAAAGGCCATTGAGGTGTGGGCAACAGCGGCAGCGACTGTTGCCGTCAAGTCAACGACTGTTTTGGACTTAAGGGATTTGCGTCGAAGGAAACTTAACTTTGCATAAAAGGCGGAAGAAACAAGAATTAAGAAAAATGCTTTGCTTTAAAGCAGAATATTCGTTTATTAAATTTTCGACAAATTCTTAATTTTCTACCAGTATCCAGTGCCGCCATAGCCGTAGTTATAGCCTCGACCTCCGCCGTTATAGACATTCATATTGGGATAGCGCTGTTGGCTCTGCGGCTGTACCAGAATTGGTTGCACTATCACCTGTGGCTGGGGTTTGAATAGGCTCTTCAGAAGATGACGTGGCTGGCGTAGCTGATCAGTTGTTGATGACGTGGCGGCTGTTGCCTCTCCGGTGTTGGCACTTGGATCAGGAGACACGTCAGCAGCTGGCAAATCATCAACTGCATTGTGGCTATCAGGAAAGGCCAGCACCAAGGCAACAGTAAGGCTGCTCAGCAACAAAAACGCAACGATCTTCATCTTTAGACAGTACGATCTATAACTAACTGAACTAAGCAGGCGACAGCCAGTTAAATACACGATGGCAACGGGTAACATTTGGCCAGGAACTACCTGGCTTATGCCTGCGCAGCTGCTGGCAAGGATTAGCGCTAATTACTACTGGGAAATGTCAAACGGTTTATGAGTGGAAGAATTTGGTAAATGTTTTTTTTTTTGGAATGCTTGGAATAAATTTTATTATACGCATAGTTCCCGTTTATGAGGTGGTTCCCTTACCCTAAGCAAGCGCCTTACTATATGATGTGTGTATGTAAATAATATTTAACTATGTCTTATCCTTAAGCTGGTGGTGGTGGCATGCCCTCGGGTGGTGGCGGCATACCCTCAGGCGGTGGTGGCATGCCCTCAGGTGGCGGCGGCATCTGGCGACGTGGCTATGTAGTAAAAATAATATAAAAATATATTTGTTTCAATGAAAAATTAATAAAACTATCAAACGAAACTTCAAAGAAGCGGCTAAGGAATTGGGTCAACTGAAATGAGGCAACAGGTTTCCGTAATTGCGTTTTTGGAATGCTTTAAACAAGTTTTATTGGTCGTACTTATAATTCGCGTTTAGTTCCCTTAACATGCACTTAAGCCCTGCTACATTTCGAATAGAATATTTCGGTTTATATGGGTGGCGCTGGCATGCCGGGGGGAGGAGAGGGTATACCTGGGGCAGGTAATTGGCGGGTGTGCTGTGAATGGGATAGAATAGAGTATAGAGTATTGTCTAAAGACGCAACGAGACATGGAATGACGCCAATGGGGCCTACAAGGACAAGAGTACAAATTTTCCAGCTATGCAAAAATGTTTCTTACTCTGAAATGTGGTTGTTGCTCTTCGTTGTTCTCATGGCTCGTTGGATTGTTGTTTACGACATCACGACGCGCCTGTATATATATAGAAATACATATTGATCTTTATAGTATTGTGTAATGGCTTACTCTGAATTGAGATGGAGGTTGTTCCTCGTTGTTCACAGGACCAGACCCGCTCGCAAGTCCCATTTTAGTGAGGGGGGCATGGCGCCGTGCCTAGAATTAGTAGGCATTGGCCAAACATCATAAGTAAATGCTTATAACCCTCAAAGCGTCGCCGCTGCAATTCCTCTTCATTAGGACTTAATTGGCGACGCGTCTTGGGGCAGAGAAATTTCAACTTTGTCTGCTATACATCTTGAAGCTGACTTACCCGCACAAACAGTCGCTTCGCTTCCTGAATCAAAAAGTTTTTTCGAAAATATATATTAAATAGTGGAGTTAGTATTTAGCTGTTGCTTACCTCTAAGCCCTTGGTGGTGCCACCGTCGCCGCGTCCGTCCACGCCGAACAATGCCAAAGCCACCACGTAAACAAGCAAAACAACGCAAAATAGCTTCATTTTCTGTTCGCCACGTTGCTGTTAATGGAGAGATTGAGACTTCTCGCTGCTGGCCTGCATTCGACTGGGCAGCTTCTTATATACGCCCAGCTCCATGGGGACTGCCATTTCAATTGGCTCGTTAAACGTTATCCGAAATCTTGTAAAATGTCAGCTTAGCAAATAATTGCCGATTCGTATCGCACAGGGCCAAAAACAATTAAATTGTTTATTAAATCATAGCAGTTATTAGCAGCTGCCAACTGGCAGAACGCGACATGTATCCTCAAGATACAATCGGCACTAACACGAAAAGGGCGGCATTTGAAAAACTGTTTTGGGTGTGCGTCTGATGTGTGAGATGTGCCATAATTACGCAATCAACATATTTCAGGTGCAACGAACAATAATAAAACAATTTATGGTGAGTATCAATGTGATCAATATATATGCAAATGAATATTTCATTAACTATGAACAAGGCGAATCTAGTATTTCACGGCAGGAGTAAACACAACAAACTTTAAAAAGGATAAATATATCTGCTTACAACAACAATCGAATCGATGGAGATATACTTCTCTAGCTACCTTTCTCTCTGTCTCTCCCTATGCGCCACGTAAAGTTAAAGCTCTATACATTTCTTACACTTCTTAGAAGCCATGCTTCAAATTATCGATCATTCCGGCCAATTTCAGCTAAAGTAGATATGAAGAACGATAAGTTTTATAAAGATCTCTCCAAATTTAATACCTTAACTCACCAAAGGTGCATACACGTTATGCAGACCTCACACGCTTCCGTCAAGGCAAAAATATATGACAATTTAAAATGTAACTAAAAGTAAAAACTTTATCAGCATTCAAGTCTCAACTGAATAGTTGACAGGCTAATTTATCATTCATATTAAAACACAGCTAGAAACCGAAAATAATATACCCTAAATTTCAATGGATTCCAGGTATAAAAATGGAACCCATTGCACCAATTTTTAGGCATTATAAAATAAATAAAAGAAAAAAAAGATAACAAGATATTCAGCTTGCACTCCTGCTTACATATAATAGTTTCAGAATAAAATACAAATTATATTAAATATTGTTTCCATTAAATATTTGCATTAATAATTTTATTAATTTCATCCACATCAATCAAAAATATTTGAATACTACAAACTACCAATACTGTTATATAAATAATATAGAGTCTAAGGCAGCAAATTTGCCAAGAATATAATTCTAGACATAGAAATTCTAGACATTTGGATTCCCTCCATCCGTCTGCATTACAAGCTACATTATACTTATCTCAAATACGATCTGTCTAAATTGCAAGCTATGTTAAATCTAATATGTCGTTGTTGCCACATTTAGTGCTGTCCTGGCACTTAGCAGCTGGATGTAAGCCTTGCGCTCCCTTTGTGATATTCCCTCGTTATATCCGGCTCTAAAAAACCTTAGAATGAGTTCACGTTCACATTTAGCAGAGCTTTGCATAATTTGAAAATTATAACACGCTTTGATGTTGACGTGCCGAAAGGCGTTGGGCGCCTGTGTCTTTGTCTTTGTGCTCGTCTTCGTCTTCATCTTCGTCTCTCTATCTCTCTCTATCTCACTCCCACTCTCTCGTTGTCAACCAAGTCAAATAGAGGTGCAGGCGACAAAAACGAAATTGTTGGAAAGAGTACAAAATAAATAAGCGCACTTTTTTCTCATTTCCGTTGCTTACTTTGACGTGTTTAGTTTTTGATGTGCACATTCGCGCACACAGCAGCAGCGCAACAACAACAACAACAGCAGGAGCAGGAGCAACAGTAAAGGCAGATGATTAAATTCGTCGCCAATGTGGACAGCGTCGCTGGTTCCGCTGGCTCTAACGGGGCCGCTCTGTACGGGTTGCCCGTTGTCTACATCTTAGAAGAGCTCTACTTTCTATCTCTCTCTCTCTCTCTCTCTCACGCTCACTCTCGCTCTCTGTGTCTTTGTCGCTCCTACGTGCTTCCTTTCTGTCTCTGTGTGTAAACTTTTCTCATTAGAAAACTTTTACTATTTCCGCTACTCAACGCCAAACGCAAACAACAAACAAACAGCAGCAGTAGCAGCAGCAGCGGCAAACGACAAAAAAGCATAAAATAAAAATAAAAATTAAATGAAACATAAAATAAAAAAGACGCTCAACGGACTGAAGTAAATGTTTTGTAAATACAATTTTTGGCGTGCCTAAGTGTCTGAATTGACATTGTTCCATGTTGGATGTGGAGCTGTTGCACAAATTTTTATTTTTTTTTTGGCAAATTTGCAACAGGCAAGGCACAAAGGCAAGACTTTTGGTCGCTCTCCTGGCCTTATTTAATTTTTATGTAGAGCAGATGGAAAATGTCAAAGACGCTGCTTGAAAATCAATAAATCAGCGTTTACCGTTTTACCGTTACCTCAGCTTCAATTCAATCCGATTTTCTTATTTGATTTTGCACTGCCTCCGCGCCTTCCTGTTTCCTGTGACTTGCAGTGCGCATTTCCTTCAAGTGCCTCGCGTTTGCTCTAATTTGATTTTGAGCAGCAGCAGCAGCTTCTTATGCGATTGCCAGCGCCTGTCATCGCCTCGAAAATGTGCCACGTTTCAATTACGTTTATTGACTTAAGCCAACGAAAAATGCCTGATATTTTCATACACCCATGCATGTGTCTATACAATTAGATTGTGTTACTTCGACTTCCATAGAACCCAACCAAATAAAACAAAGGCACATGAAACACTTTGGGAATCATTTGCAAGAAAATCTATACAAATCTTTCAATTATTTTGAAAATAGTTGACTGAAAATGTTTTGTATTTTCAAAAATCTGCAAAAACTATTTCTTGTTTTATTATAATTTATAAAAAAAAAGGTATTCATAATAATAATATATATAATAATATACATAAGCTCCTTGCTCATTATAATGAAATTTGACCAAGGATTTGCGCTTTGATGTTTGCTTGGAGAATCTATGATTTTTTAGGCACGTTTTTACTCAAACTTTGTGTCTCTATATATATAATTTTTTATGTAATTTATTGGGGTAATTTATATTGCTTCCTTTTTAACTTAAAATATTGCTAAGAAACTATTTTGATATACGCTTTTATTGAAGGTGTAAGAAAATTATGAATGCGTTGTTTTTCTTGCAGTAACATAAGTTTAAACAATTCTAAAATAAACATATATATTCTTAACACAATAAAATTGATTGTATGAAAAAATAAATTTTGTGACATTAGTGCTTAATTATAATAAATGTAATAAATATTAAATATAACATTCACGACTAACGCTTCACGCTCTTCATAACTTTGACCATTATCGATTTTGAAGACACGTGAAGCAAAGACTTCGCTAGCTCATAATGCACATCAAACAATGAGATTGTAACGCTGTTTCGAGAAAAGCTGGAAAATTATCCTCACTCTAAATACGACAATTATGCCACTGCTTAAATAGCTTTCAATATAAATATGAATATTTGATAAAGATATCTATAATTATCACTAGTCGCACACAAATGCATAAATGGACATTATATGCACATACGCATTCCCAATGATTCACTATATTTATATATATACATACATATGCTTATCTACTTAGTGAAACATTTGAGGCAAATCCACAATTTGTTGGAAATTTTCAACAGCTTTGCCACAAATTCTCAGCAAATCTCAATTTGTATGCACTTTTTGTGCCACTGAAATGCAGCCGATGCCAGTCCGAAGCGGGAATTTATGTATGGAGTGGCAGAAATATATAGGAAATGCAATTACAACACGCTCCATTAGCGGCCTATAGAGTGCCATTAAATGCGCGCCATAGGCATTACGGGCCGAGCTGCCAATTGGCAAAGTGGCTGCCAGTTAGCCAGGCGGATAATTTTCAGCACTTCGGTTGGCCTAAACATAAGCCGGGGAATACGCAAAGCTCTCACGCCTTGGCGTCCAGCAATTGAAATGTGTTTTAGTTGTCAATGCACTAAATACCCCACTCAGAATCCAGCATCGGTAATAAGTAAGTTCAATAGCGTCAAGGCTCTGGTGGCCAACATCACGTGTCTGGCAAACGGATTGCCCAGAAAGCCTCACGAACCGGATAATGATCAACGAACTGTATACGTTTCCGCAATCGTAGTCAAATCGACAAACATGCACACCAAATGCAACGGCGCCTGATGCTGATGCTGATGCTGATGCTGCTATCGTTGGGGAATAGGAATGAGAATCAGAATCAGAATCAGAATGCGAATGCGAATGCGAATGCGAAATGCGAAACGAAGATGGCCCGACAGCCTGAGGGGAATCAAGGAGCCAAGGAGCTGTTGCCCAAGCAACTTATGCCGCTCGACTGACAGTTGCCCCTCCCCTCGGTGCCGACTCGGGTGTAAACACCCCGCGCTCGAATGTTTTGCATTATTGATAAACTGCTCGTCTCCATCGTCTGCGTGGCAAGAAATAAAGCAACGCCAAAGAATATTTATGACACTTGCTATGCTCCAACAAACTGGAGAAAAAACATATATATATATATATATATGTATATATGTATATGTATATGTATATGCAGGCAGCAGACGGGCACGCCCCAAAAGCGAAACGTGTCATGCATTAAGCGCCTGAACGTGAGTACCAGCCCTTCTATACCCTAGCCAAAGGGTTCTACCAAAATATTCACAAATTTCAAGCACCTGCTACCCTAAATATGTCGCTAGAGCTTTGGCTTGTGTATATATAATGAACGAGCCTGATTTTAGCATGGAATTCCAATTGTTTTTCATTCGTCTATGAACCTAACAAATTGCCCCAAAAGACAGCAGAGAATCTTAATATTTGTAAATATTTGTAAATATTTGAATATTTCAGGAATAATTTTGAATCGAACTGGACGATGCAAGTCGCTTCCTAAGAATATCAAGTTAAAGTTTAGTAAAGAATATATATTACTCGTTTCAAGTCTTATATGAACGAGCAGATCATGAACATAAAGAATTTATTCGGCTTGAAAATGTATTTATTTGAAAACAAATAAAAAATTTATTTGAATCTTGAACTGAAATATGTCTCTTATGACAATGTTTGCAAGAATTCATGGTATTATCGAGACAAGTTTTGTACTGTTTGGAGAAAATTCATGGTTTTCAATAATTATGGAAATTTTGAGATATAGTCAAATTTCACTACGTCCCAGAAACTTATCTAATCTGGCCATTGATCTATGCTGGTAACTTAATTTATGTTTGTTATGTTTGAATGTCTTTGTAATTATTTTTCAGCATTTATTATATTATTTATCATTTTCTATTGTTTATAAAATTATAAAATTAAGAAACGAACTAATTGCAAACAAGAATCTAACTATTTCAATACTTATAATAAATTTAAACACATTTTTTATGTTTATCAGAATTTGAAAAACTTAGCTCTATATCATCTGCTTTTCTAGACATTCTATTCGAAGTTAGTCTAAAAGAGCAAGAAAAATTGAATCCATCAAACATATTTAAAGTTTTTGTTTCAAAACGACAGCTAAAGTATCTGAAAGTACTTTAACTTCCCATTAAAAATTATTTTTAATTTTTCAAAAATTATTTCTAAAAAATAAGCTTCATTTCACTTTAAAATTTATATCTGTTTTGTTAATACACCACTTACAAATATAAATTCCATAGAGTTCAATCTATTCAGAATCGGATTCAGCAAGTTTAAACCTTCGAAATAACAGAACGACATGTGTACAATTTGGCAAGCCATAGGAATGCATCTTAACCTCGGCTATAATGCCTCAAATCTGAATTACAAATTTCAGATTCAAGCTTTATGCCATGCTAAGCGCAACATTCTAGTTGTTTATATCCCTCAGCTAGAAAGCGTATTTCAAATGCTGTCATAAAAAGTTGGATTTTTTTGCTACTTGGACTAGCTACATTTGTTGCACTTTTGGCAATTGGTGCAAAGCAAAAAAAGGCGGCAGGCGGCAATGAAGCGTTTAACGGTGGCAGCAACTACAGCAGCGCACAGAAGTGCAAAAATTATAAAAGTAGAGCTAGTTGTGTAGACTGTCGAAGCCGTGCAAAAAGCATTTGCTAGACCAATTTAGCTCGGCTGGCGAATGCGCCACAGTGAGTGCAAAAAATTCGTGCACGTTGCGTTGTAATTGCATTTGCTTTGTTGTTGCTTACAGACAAAGAAAAACGAAAAGGATAGAAACTTAACTTAACGAAGGGCCACAAAGAGATGGACAAACGAAAAAGAACAACTCCAAATGTTGCAATCGAGTTCAACCGACTGCGCGATGCTTGCTTACAGTTAACGGTACTTAACTTTCTATTTTAGTGGTTGCTTCTACCCGCTTTGCCACGGCCCAGTGGCCTTTAGTGAAATAGTCGTAAGGCCATCTGTAGAGAAACTTTTAGCAGCTATTCATTCAACATTCGGTGAACCTAGCTGCATCTATTGTTGAACCAATTCTTAGAGGAGATCACAATCAGTCTTCAAATTTCACCAGCTTTACACCATTATTTACTGCAAATATGGTCACCCTATATACTTTAATTTTCTCTGTAAATATATTCATTATTGTTTTAGATCAAGACTTAGACTAAGCGCAAAATCACGTTCTTCAGTTTACGTTGTCCGTCTTAGAGTAGCTTGACAGCATTATCTATTTAAAATATGGTAGCCCTAGCGATTTACTCAGATTATATATAAAGTTTTTTTTTCAATATTTAGTCAGCCATTTCGCCAAGCAAAATTACTTTTAATCAATTTCAAAAGCAGTTTATTAGCTTGCAATAAAAAAATCCCAACCTGACTGCAACGCTGCTTCTCGACGCCTTCAACATTAGTGTTCATCACCAGAAGTCTGATCAATCCGTATGCACAACCAATAGACTCTTTATCACCTTGTGAACGAGCATGAATGTGTGGGCAGGGGGCGGGGCCATCGCTTCTGTCTGGATACGCATACGTCACGTAGTGGCGTTGCCGCAGCTAAAACTTCATCAATTTGCCTTGTGAATCCATGGCCAGCTTTCGGCACCCGCTCTGATGGTGAGCTGAAGTTTTGCTGGGTTGGTGCTCTGGGTGTGCATCAGACGTGCGACCGTTTCATAAAGAAGCGCCCATTAATGCATTGCACTTATGCATGATTAATTACAGCGTTTAAAAGCGCATAAATATGCATTGCAAATTTTATTAACACAAATAATTAAATGAATCAAACAGTGCCATTCCACGTATATATATCAACTAAATGGATTTTCATTAAAGGATTTGCTTTATATATTTAAATAGCATTTGACTTAATTGTATTATATATGGCACTCTCCATATGGGGACTGTGGAAAACGCTATCAGTTTCTTAATTTATTAAAACAATTTGAATAATTTTCCGAATCGTGATAGTGAATGTTTGCTTTTTATTATATATAGCAAACAAACAAGCATTCTGTTTTATGCCCTATATATATAGTACTTAACAGGTATAGGAACAAATAGCAGGTATATAGTTTCTATAACTAAAAAAAAAAATAATTTCGACAAAGCTGAAATTTTGAATTGAGTATTCACACTTCGCACTTAATATCTCCGATTTGGAGTATACTGGGTGACCACATACGCGCCATCGTCTTCGCGGTAGCCCAAACCATTGTAGATGACATAAGTCCAGTAGTACAAAGTGTCACCAATATTCAATACGGTTTCACGATCACGGAACGTCCAGCGACCGTTTTTCGCACTGGGTATATCGCGTGCCCATGAGCCCGCCTCCAATCCGTCAAATTCCTCGTTCAGCTTGCCGTGAAAGGCAAACAGCGAAATGCCCTCCTCATGCGGTATGGAAACCTCAAATCCTTTGGGATAGAACACACGCACCTGCGCCGCCGGTACATTGTATGCGGCGCCAAGCACCACAGCTGTCAGAATAAAAGCACAGCTCAAAAGTAAACGCATTTCGTATTCCTCCGAGAACAAGTTTCTAAGTGCTGAGCAAATGCTGAAGTTCGTCGGCTTTATATGTATATCACAGCAAGCAGAGAGAGCTTTCGCCTATAAACGACAGTAGAACAACTCGAGCTGATAGTCTAATGCTCATTCGAACATTCTCTTTTCAATACTAATTATTTTGTCTATCAATCTCTCATTAAAAATATATTATTTCTTGAATCTAATGTTATCAGTTGACATGATAGGGAAAGTCTCTCATTGCAAAACAACGTTAATTATTTTAATACCAATAATTTACATCAATTTGGTCTTTCATAACTGAGTGCTCCGGTCATTTAATCCACATGTAAGCAGCTAAAAACAAAAGCTGCGTAATTACATGATTTAGTCTCCATGTGATCGTATAAGTTCTTGCACTTCTCCAATTTTTCGCGATTATTGTAATTCAGAGTCTTAAGTGCCAGCTCCACATCGAGCTTGCCATCATCATCCGAGGCATCCTTCAGCAAACATTTGCAATAGCACTTAAATTTATCCGGCAAATCTTCGATTGGAACATCCCGTGGTACGCTATCCAGATCAGCCGCTGTGATATTGTTAAGCTTCTGGCAAGTTTCACTGCTATAGCTTAAGCTGAGCTGAATGTATTTGAATATATTTAATAAAACCATAGATTCATATTAAACTTTGACCACTTTCACATAACTAATTTAATATTAACTTTTACATTATTAAAATTTAAATTCAAAATGAGCCATTTAACCTTACCAAAGTCATCAATAGTGTGATAAAAATGAAACCCCTTATTTTCATTGTGATTAAATTATAAAAAACATGAATTTGTAGTTAAAGTGGAACAAAACAGTTGCACATTGATTGAACGTCAGTTGTGTACTGAAAATAGAAACAGAATGTTCCACTTTATATACCATTAAACGCGTTGATAAAATAATTGTTGATTAATTATAAGTCAACTTACAATGGGCTTTACGTCATGTTTATGAAGACGGTTTGTAATAAGATGAACTATTGTTAAGTGAAGAAGAGTCAAGTGGAATCTATCAATAATTTATTTATTATATTTTACACATTTATTTAAATACACACTTCATTAGAGCAATCATTTTAAAATTATTTACACATATTGTTTTTAACAGATTATCAGTTAATTAAATCCTCAAATTTGAGTGGCTGTTCCGGTCATTTAATCCGTAGTCAGACAGAGAAGTAAGTGAACCGCATAATAACAAGCCTCCCTATCATCATTGGTGGTCATTTGGTCATATTGTTACCTGCACTCTTCCAGTTCGTCACGCAGGCTATACCACTCTTTCGGTTGATCCTTTGTCGCTCGCTTCATATCCAGCTTACCATCGTCTCCCAAGTTATCGCTTAACAAGCACTTGCCGTAACATTGGAATTTCAATGGAATATCTTTAATTTTCGGCTTCTGCGGTATCGCTGCTAACTCCGAATCAGTTATGTTGTTAAGCTCTTGGCATATTTTATTACTACTGCCCATGCCCAACTAAATTTGAGGTCTTGAGTGCTTATTTACAATATTATGTTAGGAGCTTAAAAGAATTAACAATATACACACTAAAAAACAAAGTTGTACATTCATTTTCTACAGAGAGGAATACAAATTACGTATGAGTAATAAAATAAATTTATATAGAGTTTATATAGTAACTAGTGCAAATCAGTTATCATTCACACAAAATTAAAATTTAAAAAATCCCAGCCCAAATTGCAATAGCTATTTAATTTGATATAACAATGCATGTGATTTTAAATAATTAAAGAAAGCAATATATGCACATATATATACAAATACAAATTCTCTTGACTGCGCTGATCACGAACATTTCTTCATAAAAGGTGGCAACACTGCAAACATCAAATAATTTTACACACAAATAACGGTCATCAAATATACTCATAGAACAGTTAATAAGCATAAATTAAAAATTAAAATTAAAAAAAAAACTAACGACTTCAGCAACACAATATTTTCGAGTTCATGGCTCTACTAACTAGAACACTTTCAATGTTGTTAATAAATGAATTAAAACAAGAATATAATTCTTTACACTTTACAGCACTGAGAAAAGTTTGTTTAAAAAGTGGCAGCACAGTCAGATTTTTGTAATTAAAATTAAAAAGTAACGAGCGCATTTTCGAATGACAACATTTATTGAATACACATTTTATTTATTTATACACAACTTATGGATGATATTGTCCATTGTCAATTTCACTGTGCTCCGACTGAGCTGCCAGTGCTAAACGTTGTGCCTCCTGTTGTGCCCCGATAGCTGCGTGCTCCGCCGCGATACGCTCAAATGCGTTCAAATGCTTTTGGGTGGCATGAATGACGGCGGCACTGCCATGAGGAGCAGCTGCCACCGGCTATAAGCGAATGGAAACAAAAATAAAAGTTTGTAACATTTATACAATTGCTAGCGATTGGCGCATGCTGAATAATTGAAATAATTCATTTGCCACCATCCAACGTCAAGCAGCAACAATGACTGGCAGCTATTGCGATGCTCGTGAAAAGCATTTGTATTCATTCATGTAACAACACGCTGCCATCTCTGGGCCATACTCACCGCTTGGCCTGGTATGTGGCTGGCATGTTCTTGCGCAATGCGATTATAAGCAGCCAAGTGCTTTTGCTTGGCCGCCTTGACGGCTGCACTGTCTTCCAGCTGATGACTCAGCTGCGGATGGAAGCCATGTTCATCGGCAACGTATTGAACGGTGCGCACTTGATTCTTGGGATCCACGTAGGAGAAGGCGCCGCGTATAACGCCCGAGCCGTCAGATACCTCTGTATGCTGTCGATCCACATGACCAGGCGCACGTCCCGCCTGGTAGCTAAACACATACGGACTAGCAGGCGCATGTGGCTCTGGAGTGGTCGCCAAATGAAGATGCGAAACATCCGCGCGGCAGGCGCTCAATGCACAAACGACCTTGACACAATAAACCGGAAATGTAGCTGTTATTGCCCCGTAGCTGCTACCTTTGTCTATCGCTTACCAATATGAAAAATTGCTTCATGCTGTTTCTCTTTTTCGTATTTTTGCCTTTTACGTGTGCCTCTTGTTCGAACTGCGATGGGAAACTAAAAACTTGTAGCGAATTTTTTGTCAGTCGCAATCGCTGGAACCGAAAAAACTGGTCTGCCGCAGTGCTTTACCTTCTCCGATTCGCTTTTTTTATACAAATCGCCGTCGAAAGCTTTAAACTCAAAACTTGTTTTTATTTTTAAATTTTTTGCATTCATAAACAAGACAATTCGACATTAATGTTAAATTAAATTTATTTTGTAATATGCCAGATAAGCTAACATTGCCGTTCTACGACAATCAGTTCCTCTAATACTGAATCTCTCTCAATGTCGCACGATCTTAAAATTTGCCAGTTCAAAAGTGTGTGGAGCCAAATCTGACTTTGTTGATAGTGAAAAATATGAAATAACAAATCTGTTAAGCTTGTAAATCTTATGTATGTATTTGCTGATTCCTACCTATCAAACAGGTCTAACTGACGAAATGTGTAGATATTTCAAGAAACTCCCAGTTCTATCGTCAGCAGACAGACTGCCCCATCGACAAAAAATAATTTATATATATTTTTGTTATATTATCCAGATTTAAGATCTAAGCCATAGAGAAATTTAAAAAATAATAAAATAAGAAAATTGTATTATATGATTAAAAAAGGCTTTACGGAGATTCACTTAATTTTAAACTAATGTATTCCTTATGGCAATACTTTAAGAAGAGTTGAGTGAATCCAAAACGGAAAATCGGGTTAAATACAGGTTTCATTTATTATTATATTGAACTGACAAATAATATTTGTATATTGAATCGACGGAATATCAACCAGTACAGTTCTGACGATCGTTATCTTGCAGCTCACCAAAAAACGGTTAAACAACAAAGGTTTACTGACATCCACATCAATAAAATTAATATTTATATAGATTTTATGCTAGGAATATAGGTCAAAAGTATTAGCCTGATTACGTAAGACTCAAAATATTTACATTGTACTTTTAACAAACAGACAAAAACTGAAGTGAAAAGGTTTTTTAGAAAACTACGCATTAAGATCTTAAAATTTGTGAGTTAAGTTTTGAGTGTTTTGACAAACTTATAGTATCTATTTGTAGTGTGCGCAATTAAAAAGAAAGCGTATAAAATACATATATAAACCTAAGTCAGTGTCGTCACTGTCTGCGCTAACCAGTTGGTATAAGCAGGCACGTAGGTATAAACGCCCGGAAACTGAGCGCTGGCGCAGCCCAAGCCCCAAGATACAATGCCAAGCAGTTTGAAGCGACCATCAACGGGTGTGACCAATGGACCACCTGAATCACCCAAGCAACTGTCGCGATCACCCTGTCCAGACTTACTGCCCGCACAAAACATGGTGTTCGTTACGGTGGCGGCGCTATAATAGTTTTGGGTACACCTCTGACGATCCATTTGGACGACGGCTGTGTAATGCAAGCTCGATGCAGTCTGCATTTTCTGCGCTGATGTTGATCCCCAGCCGCTGACGAAGAGCTGTGCCTGTGCGGGCACATTATCCATTGGTGCAATAATCGGAATGGATTTTATGTTGTCACTATAAGTAAGCGGTTCCTGGAGCTGTATCAGGCCGATGTCATTGTTCATGGGTGTGGGAAGGTTGAATTGCTCGTGACGAATGATGCGACGAACACGATGGTAGCTGCCACCACTTGACCACTGATTGGAGCCAGCGCGTATGACGTAGAGTTGCGGCTCATTGGGGCTTGTCAGACAATGAGCGGCAGTTAGGACAATGGTGGGCGCCAGTATAGTGGCACCACATATATGACGCGCGCCCTTCTGCAGTGAGACTTGGTGTGGGAAATATGAGATCCTTGTCTCCCAACCTCCCACAATACGACCATCCTGCAGACTGAGAGTACCATTATCCGCCAATAGCCTCTTCTCCTGGGTGCTGATGTCCTGAGCAGCGGCAAGCGCCAACCAAGCGAAGAATAGCAGTTGAATGCGCAGCATAATGTGGTGCGATAGCTGACTTATAGACAATAGTGTGTATTTCAGAGAGATCAACTTTTATATGCAGACCAGTCATAGATATCTTGGCCCTTATCGCATTTTGTGTATTTGCCAGCGACTCCACTTTTCAGAGACTGTTTCATGGGCTGCTCGATGCGATTAGCCGTAGGCGAGGTTATAGGGCTTGGTATTTATGAAAATATATGAGTGGAATTATGGTTGAAATCATAGTGGGCGCAATGTGTGTGATTTTCAGCTAATGCCTAGGCCTTTGCTCTTCCAATCATCTTTCCATGGCCGTCACCTGCTCCTTGAGGTAATCCAAATGATTGACGCTGTCTTGCATCACATCGTACTGATAACCGACGTGCTGTAGGATGAGTGTCATCTTTTGCAGGTTTTGATTGCTGTAATCTGATACCACGTCCACTTGGGTAAAGTTCTTCAGGGTCTGATGCATAATCTGTGCAACATGATTTAGTTGATTAGGTATTCTATATAGAATTATTAACATTTATTCCTACCTCATTGGTTTTGGAGCCTCGAACCACTTGCCTGGCTACAGAGCCTAAATTGTTTACATTGACACCAACTCGAGCGCACAGACGTTTCTTAGAATCATCAAATAGGTGACGAGCACTGGAACTAGATGCTGATGCCATTTTCTAATGTATTTATCAATTTATTCAAAATTTCACAAAATCTTTTGCGTAAACAAAGCAAAAGGCCAAGGTGAATATACAATTGCGTTACGTAGCAAGCAGCTTTCACGCGTATGCTGTCAGAGTTGCCAGATGTGGCAGTCGACTTTACTCAACACTGTCAATATAAATTTGAATTATATTTCAATATTTGTGAAAAGCCCGCAAAAACTTATAAATTAGTAAATATATACATAAATATATGTAAAGGTGCTTAGATTGATTTTATTTAGCATTTAATTTTATATCACATTTAATTGCCATATGATTTTAACCAAAATACCTACGCCTTCGTTGAAAGCAACGATTAACACTCCGTTTTGGACCTTGACAGCGATTGTTCCAAGCCACCCATGCGGAGAATCCCTGCTGTTGCCTGATATATTTCGCACAGGCAATAGAATATCTAATGTCATCGCTTAGTAATAGCCGGCAGGGTAAACGACACAAATCTGTGGATGGTCTGCCATCCGACGGCTTGCACCAGTACCGATCGTTGATCTGAAACAGTCCCCAGTCGACGGAATTATCCACATTGGCTGTATTGATAGCTTTCGTGTTGAACGAGCTCTCGCCCTCGACTAGGCAAAGCCAATCGGCCAGCTCGCTATACGGCACCCCATTCCGATAAAGCTGTCGGGCCAGGCTACATTTCCGCACTTGGCGAGCCTTGATCGTTCGCGTACCAAACGCGAACAGTAAGGACAGCAACAGGTAGATCGGCCACGTTTTTGGCATCTTCTTGTGAAATGTGAAACGGCACTGTGATGCCAGGCTTATATAGTCTTTCGTCTGCCAGATTTTGAATAGCTGCCCAATCTAATTTTTTACAACTGCCCACTTGAACAGCTCTCAAGTGGGCCCACACTTGAGCATAAATTAAGTACACTAGCCTACAAAAACTTGACGTTCTGTGAGTTCAATGCTTTTAATTCTAATTTGTGATCGGAGCCTAATTCAAAAATTGTGTTAGTCTGTTTTATTGTTTTATTCAGTCTTAAATGTGTGACTTGCTGATATATGGAGTGGGAACTATTCGGCATTTAGGAATAAAGAACACTTTCAGTTTTTGAAAATTAGAATCTTTTGTATGTGTTGATTTATTGATTTATATCATTTTATAGTTGTTGTTGTTATTGTTTTTTTTTTTAAGGTATTATTCAACATTTCAATAAGCCTCTTGAGAGTTGTCGGCGCCGCGTGTTCCTCCAAAAATGGAGAGCACTTGTTCAAATAAAACAATCGAAAATGCTATTCAACTGGGAAGCACGTTTTTAAATAAAGTTGTATAAAAAATCGTATGCAATAATACAAAACGGGCACTAAAACTAATATACTTTTGGCATCTCCTGTGGCGTCACGGGCATCAATTCATTTTCCGCCTGTCCTGGGGGCAATTGATACTCACCTTTAGGCAAATACTGTTGTTTCCTGGACAATGGACGGAGAACAATGTGGGCCACGCAGGTGCAAATGGCAGCTACGGCAAAATACTTGAAACTTTCGCGTCCGCCCAACCTCTTAAACATAATACCCCCAATGAGCGAGCCAATGGAGAAGCCCAGGCCATCATCCATGCCAGCCATGAGACCTTGCACCGTGGCCGAGGTGCCAGGCGGCGCTACTGCCGAGGCATAGGCCACTATGCAAGTGTAGCAGAGAGCATAGGTTACGCCCTGGAAGAACAGCTCCACGCCCACCAGATACCAGGGATTCGGTATCCAGGAGATGAGCGATAGGCGCACTGCATAGAAGAAGAAGCACATGCTCATGCAGTGCACATAGCCCAGTTTCTTGATAATCTTTCCGCTGTAGAAGAAAAATGGCACCTCGCCGGCCAGACATTCCGCAGCAACTACGAGTCCTTCAATAAGTTTGATGTCCGCCATGTAGCCCGTCTCGGCGGCCACCTCTTCGACATGCCAGAACATAAAGTAGATTATGAAGGAGTCAATAATGCCCGCTATTGTGGCGAACAGCAAGAATGTCACAATCGGTGGCTGACGCACCAGCTGCCAGACATCTGTCCAGATGGACTCGGAGCCGCCCAATTTGGGCAACTTTAGCTTGGACACGCTGAATAAATCCAGCACACTGAACACACCCATTATAATCAAGGCGGGCGTAAAGCTCTTAAGTGCATCCGTTGTCCACAGATTGACCACAACTCCAGCTATTAGAGCTGTGACTCCAAATCCAATGGTGCCCCAAACGCGCTGGGCACCATATTTACTCTGCTCCTCCTCGCCCAGCATATCAAAGCAACAGGCATCCGATATGGAATTGGTCACATTGAACCCGATGGTGCCAATGAACAGCATAGCCACAAATAGCCAGAACGCGCCACTGCCGTAGACACAGCTATCGATGTGCCGCAGCCGGCAGGTGAGGGAGGTGTTGCTCCAATAACTTGGCATCGTTACTTCAGTGAGACAAATGAAATAGCTTTCGTTGCCATATTGCAGATTGGGTTCCAGATTCAAGCTTGCCAACGACTGAGGCGCCGCTATCAATGTCTGAAAGCTATAGTTGCCCTGGCTGCATTCAGCCTCATGTGCGACCTGGCAGTGAGCATCAGCTGCATAAATCTCTGGCGGACAGTGGAGCGGCTCCTGTGTCAATGTTGCTTTCCACTCAACGTTGGTCTCGTTCAGCTCAATGGGGTGCGCTGCATTGGGCAGAAAGTAAAAGCCGCCATAAGCCAAGGTCATGATCACGATCAATGTCATAAAGATGAACTTGCGCAGGTGCTGTGAAGCAACAGAACTATTAGAGATCGAGCAATGCATAGTTTTCATCGACTTACCAAAAAATAATCAGCTAAGAAGCCAACAAGAGGCTTAGCGAGCACATACAGAATCGGCAAGACGGCCGTTATATAGCCCATTATATCTGGCGGTATGCCAATCTGTTTGCCTATCACCGAGAGCTGCGGCAATATGGGGCCCATTGCTGTAAGGTCAGTTAGAATTGAAGTCCAATTGAAGAAGAGCAAACAGAAATACTTCAAAACTTACCCGCCATAAAGAAGAAGAAATGCGCCTTAATGGGCAGCAGGCGTCTGTTTATTAACGCCATTGTCTCAGCACTATATAATATCGACTACATACACATATGTGTGTGTATTGTATGACGGGAGCAGCTAACTAGAAGAAGGCTCACAATAGTATATCACAGTTTGATGACTCCATGCACCGGCGTCGCAATCTTTATTACTTTTCGTACCGGCTGCACTCACAAGACCATAGTAATTGCAACGATCTGCTCGATCTGGAGTCTGCGAAGTTAAGAGTAGACAAAATGTAAACATATTGTTGCTATGGGCGTGCCAAGAAAATCTAATCTTATCGCAGCTACAGAATGTTCTCTGTAACATAGGGCTAGCATAAAATTATACTCAGATAAGAGTCTTAATTTAATGTTTTTTTTTTTGGGTAAAATAGACCCAAATATATCTGAAGGCTTGTATATTTAATAAATTACGTTTATTTTATATATGTTTGCCTTTAAAGACGTGCAAATCTAATCTATGGCACCTGAATAGATATTTTACATAAACAAAAGGCGAGTTCTATTGCTTGTGGTAATACTGCTAGCCCATATAGAATGTCTAGAGTTTATGGCACTAAAACCTTCAGATTGTGTGTTGAAGAAGTATAGATAGATAAACAGCCGAGCCACAGTGCAGTATATATAGGCTAACGAGTTACTATCTAAGCAAAAACAGAACGAAAAAATGCCTAATGTAAAAACATTTTTGAAAGATTAAAGCAAAAAATGTTATATTTGAAATAAATGTAAAAAAATAAATAAAATGTTTATAAATAACTTAGATATAATTTTCTAGCTAATCTTTATAATTTCTCCAGTCTTATAAGAGAGCTAAATGAGCTCTCTTTGCACAAGCTGCATTGTTAGACTTCTCAACTTGTTCTCGCTTAGCTACAGCTGTTAGACCAGGTCGAAGATAGAATCGAGAGGTTCTTAAAATAACTAACCAACTGCGCTTGATTTTTATATTGCTGATTAATAATAATTTACTAAGGCCCAATCTGAAGACTGCCAAACTTAAAAATATATTAAGTGTTATACTTATATTTTAACATTTTTAAATATTTTTTTTTTAATTATTTACTAAAATATTTATAATTTAAAATTATATACATAATAATTTAAAATTATTTATTTTAATTTTCGTAATTTAAAATTATTATTTATATATATTTTTTTATATTTTATTTTATTTTTAATATATTTATATACTTTTGATGTATTGCTTAAAAGGTAAGGGTAAATATTTAATTTTATTATAATCAAACGATTCAAGCCAAAAAAAATTTAATGTTCTTAAGACTTAAACATTCCTGTTTTAGTTCAATTAATTAAACAAATAAAAATAAAGCATTTAATTGCGGTTTTAAGGCTTCCTCCCGAATCTTAATTAGATACACAAAATTGATATTGAATATTGAGTTGATTTAATCGGCACATTAATTAATAAATACATTTCGTTGCTTTACTAGTCATAAACAAGATCAAAGTGTCAAGCGCAATCCTAACTATATAGGCTAAGTAACTACCACACAAACCTGTCCAATATATAATATATATATACACGTTTATATAAATGCATTAACAGCAAACTTGACACAGAAAAATTGAACGATCGACGCTTGGTATTGCCGGCAAGTTAATTGCCCAAAAATAAATTGCCAAAATAAAAGCTTATTTACGAGGCAAAAGCCAAAAAAAAAGAAACAAATAAACGAATGCGAAACATCCTACAAAAGCTAACGGGTTCACTAATTAAACAACATAGAAATTGTTAATCAAATTGTAGTACAACAAAATGGGAGGGCAATGAAACTTTACACGCATTTAAATGTGATTTTTTTATTTATAAAATATTATATAAGCTTTAAATACAGGTACCGGAGAAAACACAAATACTTTTCGAGTTACCCATTAATCAAACTACAGTTAAAACACGATACATTAAAAAAAACCCAAAATTAAAAAAAAATTCGAATTTGATGGGATTTTATACGAACCGAGACGTACGTAGATCGCGAGACAACGTCAACTAGTTAAGTCAATAACTGAGAACTGAGAAGCCATAGGAATGATCGAATCATATATAAATAAGCTTATAGTCGCTGTAACTGAACTGAATTCCTCAAGAATAATCAAAGCATTTGAACACAATGGCACACTTTCACAGCTCACGATTATTTCATATATAATTAAAAAGAAAACTTATTTATTTACTTCAGTGGATATATCACGCGAGTTCACTTGAGGCTTGAGATCAAGTTGAAGGCATGAGAGCGCCGCAAAGTGCGAGCTACGACTGGCATTACAAAGCGCCGCCAACACCGCCACACAGTCTTCAATGGCACAAACATTGACTGATAAGCTTCGCAGACTGATAAGCGTACTGCCAATAATAATACAATGCTAATAAGTAATCGACTGCATAAAGATAAGGGCCGAGATTACAATTGTTAGACAAGAAACTAAACTTATATTTCTATATATTTATATACATATATTTAAGAACTTATACTTTATATGTTGATAATATCAATAAAGAGTATAAAGACCTTATTAAGCTATATGTAACAGAGCGAAGTTGGTGTGACTGGATCCATTAAGTTCACATTTGAAGCAAAAGTTGTGTCACTTTGTTTAGTAAAAGATCAAGCTTGTTTCAAATGACCGATAAGTTTTGGTTTACAAATAATCGATTACGTTTTAATTTTCTAAATATCGATCATTTCAGACTTTCTGATTTCTATAAAATTAGTTATATATACTCTATTCCCTCCCAAAGAGTCGTCGATTAAGTGATGCCTCTTTGCTTAAGCCGAAATTTAAGCTGAAAATTGTTATATTAGTTCCTTGGATGTATGTAATCCCCCCGAAACGCACCTAGTTGCTTCTAATCTATCAATCACAGCTCGGAATACCCCAAGCGTCGATTGAGTCAGCAATTGTGCGTTCCTTTTGTTTACGTGCGATAATTTATAAAATACAAAAAAATCTCGACTCGAAACTGGTTTTATTCGTTGCATCCGCAGGCGACGACATAAGCGCTACAGAAGCGGCCAAACAGTCGCATCTGTTCGTCCGTCGCATGAGGTCGACTCATGTTCAGCGCGTTTTCGACTTAACTACATCCCATATAAAAGCAAATATATACACATATGTATATTAATAAATATATGTTTAAATAAATGCGAGTACAAATTGGTAGGCGTTTTCTGTGGGCCGAGTGCTAATAGCGCGACTTATTAACGAATTTAACTTGAGAATTAAACTAAGTGCTGAATTAACTTTGATTAAAACAAAGTTATTTTGAAATACTTTCCATATACTACTTTTAAATAATTACACAATTATGCAGCCGCTGATAATCTTGTCCTGCTTATTTGCCTTATCAATATCAACTTGTGTATGCGTCGAACCGCTCGACGATGGCAAATGTAAGTTCAACTATTATAATAATATTTAATCTTTGTTATTCATCTGTGAATTGCTAACTGCAAAAACTTTGATTACTATACTATGGACGAAGCAGATGCTTAACAGGCAGAGATAGTGTTGCATACAAATGGAAATCAATCAGAAATCAAAGTTTAAACTAACTTTAGCAGTGACTAACAGACAGTTAAGAGTTGACACGAAATTTAAAATCATCTCTATTTCTATATATTATTCGTAATCAGAAAAAAAAGTTTTTATCAATTCAGTTTTTACCCAAAATAACAATAAATAAGTTAACACACACCGGCTGACCTTCATGAAGAAAAATGAAAACAAGAAATACTAGAAATATATAACACACCGAAGAGTGCATACGCTTTTGGAGTATTGACTCTATGCATGATTTATTTTCTATCTGAATTTCATCAGAAATTATATTTAGCTAATATCTGAATTTGTGCACAATTATAAGCCTTTATCATTGAAGCTACAAATTAAATCAGAATTTAATTGCATCAAATTGTGAACCTTTCATTAGCAGCTTTCTGTAAATATAAATGACAGACATAGCATTGTTGATTTTTAATAATTGAAATAATAAAGAATAAAACAACCAAGATTATTGACCCGCGTAGACAATAAATAATTTTAAGCGAGTGTTTTGCTGCTACATTTAGCATGAAGTTACTTAAGAGTCCATAAATTATTAGTATGCTTTAAAAAAATTAATAATATTTTGTTATGGAAATAGTAAAAACAGTGAAGATTATAATAAAGATTTCTTTCTCTATAAAATTGAAATTTAGATCAGATATAATGCAAATTTATTAAAAAATAACAGATACAAAAACATAATGAAGGCAATTCCGATTGCAATTGGTAACACATATCATTAAGCATTAAGAGCATTAAGAGTAGAGTATGCACTATTCCGCATTTTGAAAGCTAATACTTATTTCAAGTTTGTGTTATTAACTTTAAAAGTTGTTTAAGTGTAATTTTCAAGCCACAATGACAATCTAAATATGTAAAAATATTATCATATAGTATCTATATATATAGCTGCAATATCCGGCAAGTACATAGTCTTTTAGCTGGCAGCCTGCCTCTTCCGCAAAAAGACCCAAAAACCTGTCTTCGTAACACAGTGCAGTACACACACGCGTCGACCTTGACTGCTTGCTCCAGTGGCCAAGATGCAAAATAAAAAACTGCCTCTCCCGAATTCACATAACAACTGTTAGTTGTGATTTCTGCCTAATTGCCATGATATCAGAGCCGAGAGCCAAATGCAAAGAGTAGGTCTTTAAACCGGTTGCGCCTGCCCCTGTGCCTGAGGGGAATTTTGAATTGAAGTCTTTCCGAAGAACTGCACGCAATAAACGAACTTATACAACTTGATTTTATACTTTCAATTGAATACTAAAATTTATAAAATTTATTTTAATTTTCTTTTTATTTGCTATTCGTTTTCAGTGCGCGTCTGTGTGGTCGAAGCGCGGGGTAATTATCGTAAGGCGCCCAAATTTTGTCCACTACTGAACGCCACGAGTAATATTGAGTGCGTTATTGGCGTCGATCGTTTAGATTGCGTGCGTCGCATCCACAAGGGTACGGCTCACTTTGGTGTGCTCACCTCCGAGGATTTGGTGGCAGCTCGCTGGGCCAGCGTTGAGATTCTGGTTGCTAGCGAACTGCGTTCACACCTTTCGCCATTTGAGTATGAAATAGTTGCCGTTGTAGACAACGATGCTGGCATACACACAGTCTACGATCTGCATGGCGCCAAGTTGTGTCATCCTGGCTATGGTTTGGATAACCACTGGACCGAGGTGTTGGCCAATGTAAGATCTAACTTTTAACGAATCAACAAATATCGAATATATTTTCACTGTCATAATTACTCCTTGCAGTACTTCGAATCGACCTTGGTCTCAAAATCCTGCAATCCGGATATCACGTTAACGGAAGATCGCATTGCGGCCTCAGCGAAGTATTTCGGACCCAGCTGCAAAGCGGGTCCTTGGGTGCCAGATCGAAAGCAGGATCGCATTCTTAAGGATCGTTATCCATCACTGTGTCAAATGTGCTATGATCCCTACAGCTGCGATGATACGGACAAGCATTGGGGTCGACGTGGAACTCTGTATTGTCTGACAAGTGGAGGCGGCAGCGTTTCCTGGGCCCGGCTCGACGATACGCGCAGTCATTTTGGGGTTAGTAGCAAGAAATTAATTGCAGCTTATACAGAGACATTGCTAACTAACATATTTAACAGCTGGCAGGACTGGAAGCACAGGGCGATCCTTCTAAATATAGCTATCTCTGTCCAGACGGACATTTGCAGCCAATCAATGTTACTCATCCGTGCATTTGGATATCGAAACCATGGCCTGTGGTGGCAGCACGTCGCTCCCATGCCGCTCAGGTGCAGCGTTTGGTTACCGGACTCACACACGATGAGCCGCAGAGCTGGCAAAATGCACTGATTAGCTTGCTGGAGACATATCATGTGATTACAGTGCCTCTGGACAATGTCATCTCCATAGACGACTATCTTGATCAGGCAATTGGCTTTCAGTCGGCCTACAGTTTCCCGGAGTGCAATCCGCCACGTTCAATTGTCGTCTGCACAACTTCGATTATCGAGCATATTAAATGCTCTTGGTTGCAGGAGGCATCCCAAGTATATGGCGTTGAGCCGAATATTCAGTGTATACGCACGACTAACTTGGAGCAATGTATGGAAGACACCCATTACAAGGGCGCCGATGTTCTAATGGTAAATCAGGAGCAACGTGTTCAGGCTCAGAGGGATCACGGTTTGACGCCGTTACTCTTCGAGTTTGCAGAGCAAATGCACGATCGTTATGTAACCATAGCGCTGGTACATAAGGATTCTAAGTACAAGAGCTTTACGGATTTGAAAGGTGCTCGTGCTTGCTTGCCAAGCTACGAAGGCGCTGCACATCTTTCTGTGCTGGAAACCATTGTGAACGCTACGGGAAAAGTGCATTCAGTGAATTCATATTTCAATCATGAGTCTTGCCTATGGCATCCGCATCGTGGTCGTCAGTGTCCGCTACATTATCGTGGCGATGAAGGCGCATTCCGTTGCTTGGCCGAGGGTGCCGATGTGGCTTTCCTTAGCTCCGATGTCTACAAGAAATATGTTAGTGGCAATTTAACATCCGACTGGCTAGAGCATGGGAAGCACCAGTCTTACCGCCTTTTGTGTCCTTACGGCGGCATTGAACGGCATTCGAGGTTTGAGTACTGCTACCTACACTGGACGGCGCGTGGCCAACTGGTGACCCATAATTCATCTATAACGCGACACAATGAGATCTACAACTCGCTACGCAACATTGATCGTCTGTTTGGCAAAAAGTCGAAAAGCGACATACGCCCATTCTCGCTCTACGGCGTCTTCGATAAGCGCAATGACATATTATTCCACGACAGCACGGACAGTCTATTAAGCGCACATGAGTTGCAGCATGATGACGCAAAACGCTCAATGGAGCACATATATGCCCGTTACATATCGCAGTATTACGCTTCAAAAGACGATGACAACAGCGGCGCGCATTTAGGTAGCGAAAGCAGCTCCCTTCTGTTATTGGTCTCAAGCTCTTTGTGGCTGATGCATCGCTTATAATTGTAGGCAATATTTTGTGCACACGATTACCTTTATTTATTGTGATATTAATATTATTTTTATATGCGCACAATTAAACCTAGATTATGTTAGGCAATCAAATACAACCAATCTTCAAAAAATATAAATGTTTCAGTAAATAAGTGTTGCAAAATACTTCAATAGGGAAGGTAAAGCGAGACAAGTACGCAGCTCACTATCAAACTACAATAAAAAATTCCCTAGCAAAAGTGATATGAATTTTAAGACCCATTTTTTGGTTTGCATATTCGAACATAAAAATATATATTTATACAAATATTTATATTAATATTCTATCGATTATTTTTGTTCTTACCAACCTTTGCATATCAGCTGTTCATTTGTTTTTGTTGCTATGCTACTTAAATGGTTGCTACGGGAACGATTAAATTTGACACAACGAAATGATTTTTTGCAATGAACTAAATTAACAATTACAATTGATTAAACATACGTGACTGCTTAAAATTTACTTTGTACGAAGACCAGTCATTTTGGGCGTAAAATGTCTAAAAGCTTAACGCGTACAACCAACAAATTAAACGTAAGAAATAACAAATATTGCACTCTTCAAACACAAGGACATTGCTTAAATTGCAAAGATTTTATTTGCACACACGAAAACGCAGCCACTTGCCACTGGCCACTGGATCGACTGCGAATGTAGTTCTCAGAAGTATTATTATGCACCATGTACACACATTCACACATGCACACATATTAATTTAAACTAATGCTAGCACAATAACACTTAGAATTGGCCGAATGAAAAGAGAGCATTGATCGTTTTGTTGGAAGAGCAGTTTGATCTTTGAATTTTCATTCTACTCAGTGTTGAATAACGCAATGCAGCAACAGCTGTAGCTTGTTGCTGTAGATTAGAAAACAAAATGAAAAAATTCAATTATATTGAACAACGTTGTGCGTTTTATAGCCAAAAAATGAATCACAGCGGAAGACTTTCAAATCACTTGCAACAGGTAAAACAGGTGCAACCACATCGAAAAACAGCACGGAGAAAGTCAAGGAACAAGAGAACACTGAAAGCCAGAAAACCCAGCGAAAAACCGCAAAGACTACAAAGACTACATTAGCCGGAACAACAACAGCTAAAACATCAACGTCATTGCTCGCAAGCAAAAATAAGGAGCATGAGTCTGTTTCTCATACGAGCAAACGAGCAACCCCATCACCAACAACAAAGGCTACTGCAAGCACATTGCGTGCTGCCATAGCGAAACAACCACCTGCCAGCAAGGCTAAGCCCAATGCGGTGCTGGACACATATCATAGTGTGACGGTGTCATCGCCACCGCAAAAGCGCAGAGTGCAGTCAAAACAAGCAATAGCGACAGCTAGCCACGTGGATACCGTTGAGGAGGATAGGCAAACGCCACGTGCTCGCTCCTTTTCACGCACACTGCAGCCCGATGAAATAGTTGTGCTTAAGCGGGAATCGGCCAAGCAGCGCAGCGAATTGGATGTACTGCAACAAGTCAAACAAGTTAAGCAGCCAGTCGCCTTTGAAGTTAACTTTGATGCAGCTAAAAAGCAAGCAATTGACTTAGACAATTACTCTGATGATTTTGAGTCTTATGAATCGGACTTTGAGACAGATGCCAGTACACCCGAAGAGGAAGACTTGGAGGGGGACGAAGATCAAGTAGAAGAAAGTGAAGATGCAGAGCAAGATGTACGAGAAATCAACTTCACTGATGACAACCGAGAAGATGCGGAAGCATATACAGAGGAGGAGGATGAGGAAGACTCTGAGCCCACGCAAAACCCAATTACGGTTATTCAGCGTGATAAGGAGCTGGAGAGAAAATTGGATTCAGGCCACTATGACATGCACTCACGTCGGCAGCAACGTGTCGCTGCACAACAGGAATTCGACAGCTTCGACACGAACAGCATGGCCAATTCTGAGCAACTAGACTCGGGCATTAGCAGCTATGGCGTTGCAGGAGCAGTAGAGCTGGCCAACAGCCGACAGTCGACAGCGGATGTGCATTACGGCGGCTATGTTAATTTTATTTCACATCCTGTTATAAGCCGGCGTGGTCAGGAACTGATGCGTAAGCTGCGCTTTGATCATCTGGACTATCAGCTGTTCGAGATGAAGCCGCTAAGCTATGAGGGATATATGCAAAGCTATGGCAAACTAAATACTTGCCAAATGGCCACCCAAACGCACTCCCAGCACATGGATAACGAATGCCAGACAGTGGAGTTGCACTCGCGCACCAGCTGGACACAGCACCCACCGCATTATGGCAGTCAGTTGGTCCTTAGCTGCAGTGGTGATGCAGACAATGACAGTGACACGCTCATAGCACAGACAAATGATGTCTTTGACTGCAGCTTGGCACGCCTGGAGCAACTGCGCCAGGCTGAGCAACAACGCGCAATGCGGCAGCAACAACAGCGTTTGACCAAACCCAGCGATTTGAATCGGTTAGGCGTGTTTCTGCATAAGGCATCCATGCTGTTAGGCAAAGTACTGAGTTCCAATTGTCCGACTCGTTCACCACGCCAAGTTCCGGCACTGCAGACCGGCCTACTTAATGCAGTCCCTGTGCGTCGCATCTTTGGCAGCGCTGGGCAGCAGCAGCTCGTGGTTACGGTGCATGAGTGTCCACCAGAGTGCAATGTTTATCGAGATGATTTCGCCAATCTGCTGATGGTTTGGTCTCTGACGGATCCCAGCAAACCGCTGCGTCTGCTGTCCACCTGGGCGGAAGTATGTCGTGTAGCGTTTTGCAGCGAAGCACCCGACATAGTTGTGGCAGGCTTGCGCGACGGCAGCATCGCCATGTGGGATTTGCGCGAAACATACAGCTTTTGCTCCAAGTTAGATGGAAATTTGACACATTTTGCAGCCACGCAGTCGGTAGTGCCCACTATGGACAGCCAAGGGTTAACAGCCTTGGATTTGGGTGCCGTAGTAGATGTGCGCAGCTTTCGCCCGACGCCTAATTCAAGTGGCATTGGTCTGAACACCAGTTTGGCCCTGGTACACAAGGATGTTCAGGTAGGTTTCCAGTTTGAAATGATGCCTTAATGACTTACACTTTTGATTTCCTAGTATGCATCGCTTAATGATTCGGGTCTTCTAACCATTTGGTCACTAGTGGACACTGAGCCGAATTGCGGAGCATCAACCCGAAACGAATACAACTCACCCTGGGCCAGGGTTAAGTTACTGCAAGCGGTGAGTTGTGATCTGCGTGGCTATCTGGAGCGTCGTTTGCTGAAGCGAAGCCAAACCGACTACGACAAGACCAAGTCCCTGTTTCAGGGCAACGTCTATAGCGACGAGCTGTTGCGTGAGCTGAACGAAACCCAAACACTAACAACAACTTTGGCTGGTCAGGGTGTGCAAGGACTACGCTTCAGCAGCATTGATACAGGCAACGACCTAATATATGTGTGCACCAATCGTAACTTTGTGTTGTGCTGCACGCGCAGCCTTAAAACGGAACGCTTTACACGTATCGGGCTCCACGAGAGCCGATTTCTGTTTCCCACGGCACTTTGCGTACTCGCCAACGAGTATTACGTCGCTGTGGGCTTGTCCAATGGCTCCGTTGTAATACTCAACTGCAACCAGCGACAGCGCCAACGTGTACAGCGACCAGTGACGGCCATGCCGCAGCCAACTGTGGAGTATGAGCCCGAAACAGGCAAATCTTGCGCTATACAAAACATTATACTCAACGAGCGACGTTCCTTTGAGCAACAAGAGCTGATGAGCACTGTCAGTGGCAGTGGCAACGGCAACTATGATGCACGACCGAATACTGCCTTGCAACTGCTGCAGCAGCCCCGCCGTGCATACGAATTGCAAGTTTTTGATCAACAGCTGCTGCTCAGCGGCAGTGTCTTGCGGCAAAACCTTGTCCAAGCCCTTGTTCAGTCCAGCGATGGTTGGCGGCTGTACGCTTTATCCAATGGCTCTGTACGCAGCTACGATTTCCATTTGGATCGTGAATTGACGGATGTTGGCCTACAAATTGGCTCACCTGTCACGGACATTGCTGCTTCGAGCAGCTCTTCAAGCAACCAGCAATTGTTGCTGCTTGCGGCAGATGGAGGAGTGCAAATGCACTCCGTCAATTTGTAGTTTGTTATTATTATTATATTATGTTTAAGTTTAATGTTTATGTTGTTAAAATCATTTGAATATCAATGCAATAAAGTTGTTTTCATATCCTTGCGCTATAAACTTAAATTCTTAAAAAAAAAAAAAGTGGCTCTCATCTAGTAAAAATCAATATTTAATCAGTTTTCAATTTCTTTTAAATTTAACAATGTTAAAAATTAGCATTTTCTTGCATTACATACCTTAAAAAGTTTAAAGCTGCATTGTTAATATATTATATATATTTTTTTCAATCCATCTGTTATGAAATATGGATTAAATAGCTTTGGGTATTTTCCTCAAGTCTAACAAAATAAAAATCTACAGAATTAATTATAAATATTCAAGAAATAAAATTTATAAGAACACAGGCGGGTGTGCCCTCCATGGAAAAAGTCTAAGTCTGTGTATATTAATATATTATAAATTACATACGTTGATCATGTATGATGATTATGACGACAATGTTAATTATGATGATTAGATGATTTTTTCTACTATTTTCTAAGTTCTTGTGCTTATTCTTATTAATATTACCAAATATTATGAACGATAATATTCTTCCTCTATCTCTTATGAATATGATTTGAGTTTTTAATTAGATTATTACGGTTTTTCATAAATAATCTAGTCTTAGTTATTATGTTTGTTCGAGTATACGTCATCATTATATATTATATATAGGCGCCAACAGCATTATCATTTCATTATTAATTATATTTGAGATTATTATCATGAACTTAATGATAATTCTCATACTGCACGTTAGTCTACTTAATGTTGATTATTAATAAATTAACAATCATTAACCTACAGCTATTATTAAATTTTATCATTTTTGTTGAAATTTGTAACAATATTTAATTAATAGTGCCAACTATATTTACTGCGCACAGCAGCAGAGGAGCACTGCCGTCGGAGTTGAGACTGAAGAGTGGCTGCAGCAGACCTGCTTTTATATAGTGCGACGCTGCAACTCAAGTTCGAGCTCAACTCTCGATACGCTGCCCTGAGTTAGTTTTTACTCTCGATCATTATATGAAAAAGTTCTACCTGCTGTTTGAAGCACTCTAGCTAAGTTTTTAGTCTCTTTAAGGAAGTGTAAAGAGTATATTGGTTTTGTGAGTGGCCCTCTTGCTGTTCGTATGAACGCTCTTGATATTTTGAAGACTTACTCTTTGAAACTTATCTTATAAAGTGTTAAGATTTTTCCAAGAACCCAAGACTAAAATGATATTGTAAACATATGCCCATTGAGGGCGCGGCTCTTTGGGTAAGCATATATATTTTTTAAGAACTAAAGGCCCAACAATTTTAATTAAAGAACAGATATTTCGATTTATTTAAATATTTTTAAAGCTATATAAGAATATTTTTATTTTTATGAAATTTATTTTTGTGGCAGTTGAATTGCTTCGTATTGAGTTTAAAGCCCAATACAGTTGCCCATCAAAAGCGACATAGTAAAATATTGAAAAAGTTAATCTTATCAAATTATCATAAAACAAACTTAAACACATTTCTATATAACACTTATTCCAAAACTTTCCCAAGCTCTACAAAAACTCTACAAAAAACTACTCCAAATAGATCAAATGATATTTGAGGTAACAAAAGATATCAATATTTTGTCTTTCATATCATGTAATAATTTATTTATAAATGTAGATCACAAAACACAACTTCACATTTACATATGTACACATCGATAGCCAGGAATGGACTCAGACTTGCCTAGCCACGCCCAGCATGCCGCCCGCAGTGGCGCCGAGCAACTGCCGCACCGTCTGCAATTCATCGCGCAAGGCCAGCACCTGGGCGCGCAGTATGGAGTTCTCCTGTTCCAGGAGCGCAGCACGAAACGCAATCCGATCCTCGCGGATCTTGCGCGCATCCCTTGACTTCTTGGCCGCCTCATTGTTGCGTTTGCGTCGCTCATAGTATTTGGCATCCTTTTGGGCATCTGGTATGGGTCGCTTTTCGCCGCGGGACCGTCGATGCAGAAAGCCCGGAAACATGCCCACACGATTTAGTTCCATTAGCGGAAAGTCGAAAGATTGCAGCGCATGATTCGGTGGCGCAATGTATTCGAAGGCGGGTAACGTGGCAGCAGCAATACTGCCATTCGGCTTGGAGCCCAACAGATTGGGCAATGCGAGTCCAGGCAGCGGCATGCGCAGATTATGCGTTGCAGGTATCGTAAAGGTGGAGTTGCAGCTGGGCTCCAGTTCGATGTCCAGTTCGCTGTGCAGGGAGATAGTTTCGGTTACGTCTACAATGGGCGACTTAGCGGGCGAGTACATCGTGAGCAGCACCCAGAGTTCCGGAGAAAAACTATTGGGACAACCGTTCACGCCGACGGCCGCGTTGTCTTTGAGCCTGCGGCGCGTACTCCTGATTCGAACGAGCGGCTTCAGCTGCACCCAAAGGTCTGACTGCCAGGTAATTATAGGTTATTGTCACACACACACAAAAACGGCAGCTCCAAAAAGCCAACCCCAACCCAAGCTCTGGCCTCAGCCCTAAGCAAGTTAGGAACAAATCTAATTCATAGCGCCACAGGCCGCCTTCTGCTTGATTCAGCCAATCACGCAATGTTGACGGTAATTATTCGTCAAATACATGACACTTTTTCATGTTGAATGACATTTATTTTGCTGCACAGTTATAAGGGTTTCATATAACTGGTTAGTTTGATTAGCCACCCCCTCGAAAGCGCCGTAGGACCCAAAAAGAAAAAAAAGAACTGAAAAACTGTTGACCACATGTGGAAGTCGCGTTTCTGATTTCTTTTGGGGGTGTTGCCCGACATGGACAGAGCTCGGACAGGGTTATATGAGTTGGCCAACTATTATGCAGCATGGCGCAGCGGAGGGCTGAAAACTTTTTCTACCAGCCAATGAGAGCGAGCGAATGGACGGGGCAGTGGGCGGGTATGCAAATAGATGGATACAGCGCCTGCAAATCGACCGCAAAGGAATTTCACATTGCGCTTTGGATCGAACGACATTTTGTAGATGAAACGTTACGATTAAACTTAATAGGCCCTAATTGTCAGGCTAGGGTTCAAAGGGCAACGCAATGGAAATACGTAAATTCAACTAAGAGGTCTTTAAATATATACAATTTAAAACGCAAAAAAAAGCCACATTTGTTGCTGTGATTGAATATAATATATAAAAATATTTTGTTTATAATAAAATTTATTTCAAAAAAGTAAAAATAAAATATAATAAATTACAAAAATTTGTTATCAAAATAATTATACATGTTCTTTTATATAACTAGAAAAATAAAACAAAACAAAATAAAATAAAGTAAAATAAAAAATGTAATACAAATTAAACTAAATGCATTTTTTAATTTATTAATTTCACTTCATAAATAAGTGGATATAGATATGTTTCCATATGTGCGTGTGAGTGTATGTATGTCTATGATTCTAAGTTTATATAGTTGTATTCGACTGAAACTCAAATTTATCATACTAAAATATAATTATAAATTTCATAAATACGAATTATTGCATTTGCATATTAGAAGAAATATTTAAAAAAAAATACATATATATAAATAAAACAAATACAAAAAATTAAATAGACATTTTTAATAATATTTTTTTATTATTTCCGATTTCTAACCAACCCAATTTTATATGTTCTCTGTTCTCCTCAACTTGAACTATTCCACAAATTTCTATTCTGAAAGCGTTGTGTAGTAAACAAATTTTGTATTCAACATAAAAACATACGACTGTTTATAAAAATAGTAGTATATATGTATATAAATACTGTTTCGTTTGGTTAAAGTTATCTTTAGTGCAGTACTACTATTTTTATGAACACATATAAATAAAACTATATTTTATGTATATTGAAATCGAGGTCAAAGATTTATTTTATTTTCCCAAAGACTTTTTTTAAAGCTAAATCAATCTGAGTGTTCTATCAGCTTATTTATCCATGCACTTATCTGACATAACTTCCAAATAGACGTATCCAGATATATACATTACAGATACTCTATAGTTCTAAGACTAACAAAATGCCAAGTCACGTGTATTGTCAATCAATAGACAAGCCATAAGAGTCGCAAGACATGAGTTAAACGTGCTGACGAAACGTACAATATGTGGCTTAGTTAAACAAGATATTCAGTTGGAATATGATGTCGGTCTTTTAGTCATAATTATGGTACCAAAAAAATGGCATAGTCAGGCCTCGATTGGGGACTAATCTAGCCTATAAAGCCATCAAAAAGTCTAGGCTCTAAGCATGACTGAGGCAAATAAACAACAATGAGGCTTACGTTTAGCTTTGATAACCTTACCAATAAAACATTTTACCACATGTCATTCATGGCGCTTCTGCAACCCGTTTACTTTGAGAAACTGTCACCTGTTCGGGCAAAGCAAATTGCCAGTTGGACGCGACCCGCCCCCAGACCGGAAGTCAGAGACAGCGACAGTTGACAGTGGCATCCTAACAACATTTCATAATGTATGCGATAATTTATTATCTGTTGGCAAAAGTTTTACCACAGTTAACCCTTTCGACCGGCCTCGTTTGGGTCTTCTATGGTGTTGGAGAGTTAAAGACAAAAGCGCATGGCTAAAAGGTTGGCGTGCGCACTTTGACATGCCCTCCAAGGATTCCACTGACAATACTATATCATCAATTGCGGTTTTTATAGCAGCAGATCTGAACAGGTTGTAGAATCTATTTTTAAAGAACATAAGAAAGAGATATATGAAATATGTTTAAAGAGACTAAATCAGGTGGTCAAAAAGCCAACTTATAACTGATATATAAATAAATGAAATATTTATATTTATATATATATTTATACTAGAAAATATGCCTTAAAAGCTCCTTTATTATATTCATTTTCAGCTTAGCTCAACTTAACTAAAAAAACTAAAAAAAAACTTTTGCCAAAATAAATTTTTTTATTTGTTAAATGAATTTTTAAATATTTCCATAAGAAATAAAGAATTTCAGCTGATATACCACAACTGTTTAGATATATATAAATATACGAATTGGAATTTTACAGATAATTTTCTTAACCAATATTAAGTTAAGCTTGATTAAATGAAGTGTAAAAACTTTAGTTTCATAATTTTGATTCTTAGCTGAAATAGAAAACGCATTGAACTTTATCTTAGCTCAAGGCGAACAATTATTTTTGTTTATCTCACTCCTCATACCACAGCAATGGCACTTAGCGCAACCCCGTGGCCTGTGAGCTGTTGAGCTAATGCAGTGGGAGGCCCAGTTCTATTTATATATTAGGCAAATTACCAGGTAATAAAAAAAGGGAACATGTAATTGTTACAATATTTGTACGGCTTCGGCTTTGGCTCATAATTGAAGAGCAAACATCGCTGGACAAACTGTTAATGACACCTGTAAGTGGATGACATTAGCACTTAGAGCGAGGGCTGGCACCCAGTATACGTAGACGTGGTCAAAACAGATATCATTAGCCGGGCTTTAGTTGTCTACACAAATTTGACTATATACAAATGTATATACATATTGAAATCCAGTAATACAAACAACTATATATGTATGTATATATATGTATATATATATATATTTAAATCGTATAAACAGTTAAACTACAAAATAAGCGCTCATATTTAAAAATGTGCGAAGAAACTTCGATAAGCGAATGTGAGCCGACAACTTTGATGATGCACTCGAACACTTATCATATCCATTTGCCGCTGTACATAATGGATATGGTGCGCATATTCCAGGATCATCCGAAATATGTGAACGGCATTAAGGAGAAGCATATTGTGGAGATGTTGGAGAAGGAGTGAGCTATATGTTATATATATTTATGTATATTGTCTATTTAAACACATGTTGTGCATGTAGATCCTTTGCCTGTGGCGACTTGGAGGCTCAGGTGAAGACAGCGGTTATGGACTTGTCGGCAAAGGGCTTTATACGCTTCATTAACAACGGCTATCGCACATTGGGGCCCATTGCCAAGCTGGCCAATGCTCGGAACGTGCGGCACTTTTGCGCCACCTGGCAGCGCATTGCCGAACTACAGAAGGTCAACTCGGATATCCTGGATGGCAGCAGCTCCCTAAACACTCACCGCCACAAGTGTAACAGGCGTGGCTCCAGCTGCTAGTTGGCCAAAATGCCAAAATGACAAATGGCCAAATGCAGCCGGCAAATGTTTTCTTTGTTTGTTATTTAGTTACGTTTCAAATTTAGTTTAGTTCCACTCAACGGCCACGCAACCATTGTACAAATTCAAATAGTTCTGTTTCAAGTCCATATCCAAATTATTGTTAAACCCGAAAAAAAGCAATGAATAAACCAAATTGTGTCTTTTTGTGCCTTGTGGCCATATGGAGGGTGGCTCACGCTCATCATCATTATATGAGTGTTGCCTGGCAGGAACACATGTCTAGGGGTCGCTCCCCCATACTCATCCTTTTGACACTTAACCCTGTGTTTAATTCTCATATAATTATCATATAGGGTGGTCCCAGCAGGTGTGTGTGCCCTAGGATTTTTACGTTATCTGTAAATGGTTTTTCTATGTATGTACGTTGAGAAAGATTTTGGAGAAATGATGTTTAATGTTCTTGGAGCTAAAAATGTGAAAATCTATTTTTATATCGATCTCACTGATCGATAGATATTACATATAATAAATACATCAATCGAAAAACGTTTTAAAGTTGTACAATTCGTCTGAAGTTTATTAGAATTCAAAACTTAAAATTTCTGCACCGAGATGAAGTTCTGAATGACCTTTACTTTGCACTTGCTGCTCGAACTGGGCTTTCCTTAATCTGGGCTTACTTACCCTTTGGTCCTTCCAGTCACTTAAGTTGTCAACACAATCCTGATTGGAGAGAGTCGACGCATTCATCCCCATCTGACCCGATATGTTGGCTAAACACGCATGTGATCCTAGCCAGGTGTTATTTATTACCTTTCTAATCGTTGCGGCATAATCTATTAGCACCCGCGACGGCTTTGGCAAGCGAATACTTTTCCGCTTTTGCACATTACGAGCAATTATTGCTCCTGTTCTTCTGTTACTTCTGTTGCGGGTGTTGATGGATCCCTAAATTTATACAAGAGTTTGACATTCATGAATATTTAAATAATAATCTACAGTTTTTTCCCTTTTTTAATAAATAATAACAGAGTTATAAATTGAATCTTTTATCTGATGGCGGGTTTTACGAATAACATATATATATGTATTCAAAAATCTTTCGATCTCTACGTTCAATAACAATGAGCCAATGGACAAAATCTTATGACTATGACTTAGGCACACACTCGTAGTATGGCAATCAGATACATTGATATATACGTGACCACATTTCACTTATATGTATACTTTAAAAATACTGATACTTACTCATAGTAATAACGGTGGTGAGGCTTTAAGAAAATTACATATAAGGTCACTAACGCTACAACAAGCAATATTATAACAATAACTATAATCTTTAACTTTTTTCTACCCGCCGGATTGTGGTGCAAGCGATTTTCTCTGCGCCTCCTGATTTCGCTGATCATTGCGCAAATGTTTTGAAATATTTCTGTAATATATATATATGATACACGGAAATTTAGTCACAATGCTACTATATAGTTATGATTTAAAACAGCTCTTGAATGTCAACGAATCTCTTTATTTATTTGCTATATTTATTGCTTCTTCTTCTTTATTCATATATCTCTCTGGTATATTTGTTAATAATTGGAGTTAATTTAAAATGAATTCTTGTTCAACTATTTATACATACACTTAAAAGTATAAAAGAGTAACAATAACCAAATTAAATTCCCCCTTATTGCCCTTTTCTAGGCAATTCGAATTCAAAGTTTACAAAACAAGTTTCTTAATCCAATTCATTAACCCGAAATTCCAAGCAAATGCATTGGGGTCATCTACATAAGCTATATGCTGCGGCATGCAGCAAAAATGATAATGTTAATAATGCTATTACGGGTATGACTGAACTCATATATTTTCGCCGTGTTCGAAATTATCCGTGGTTGGCTCCACGTAGCCGCGCTTGATCATCTGTTTGGGCAAATCAGCATAACAATCCAAAAACTTGATCAAATATCCATCGGGCAGATAGCTAATCAGCATGACATCAAACTCTGAGTTAAGGAGTTTGCTTTTGAGAAACTCCACGCATTCGCTGCTTTGTCGTTGCGTGGCCATTAAGCTGCACTTTACACCTTCAATGAAGCAATTGTTGGCCTGATGCGGCTTTAGGCTAATGTCATCACTGCACTGAGCTAGCGACCTAATGGTAACAAACTCTGTATTACCATAGTCAACATAAAAGATCTTAAACATTCCATCGATCTCCTCAATGATCTGTGCACGGTAGTAGCAATCATCGTTGTAAAGCGCCAACACCATGTCCAGTAGGCGCGGCGAACGTTTAAAATTGCACTGCGACTCGGACACATCTTTCTTGCTCCACACCAGGGGCAGCGCCTCATCTATGAACTGCGCATACAATTGGGTGGGGCTATCGACATACGTGACCAGCACGCGTACGATACTACCCAGCTCTCTAGGAGCGCCAGCTGTATAAATACTCTCTGGCAATGCCTCAACCAACTCGACATCCTTAGTGGCGCCATGTGGTGCAAAAGGCTGGTGTAACAAACGACAATTAGATCCTAAAATTAAAAAGTACACAAAAAACAGCAATTTAGTATTCCAGCAAGTGATATTCTATGGCCATTCCGTCAGCGGAGGCTTGGGTACCTTTGAAGCAGCCTTTGAGCTTTGGATCGTAATGTCGGCAAATACGTTGATCGTCTTTTGGTATATAGCCCAGCACAGCCTTGAGCGCATTACTGGTGCCGCAATCAACCGGCTCTAGCATTTTCAAATCTTCTGGGGACAGTTTTTCAATTGATTTGTGCAACTCGCTGTCTGAGTGAATATTTGGTTTTTCCTCATTGGAATTCGCTTTCCCTGCACACTCCAAATCAGGACTAACGCAATGAATTGACGATGATGTCCTTATCTCAGGCGATCCATCATCCAAGAACTCAACTTCTAGATCGTTGCCACTGTTGACCAAAACGCGCAGATGTACCTTCTTATAGGTAAACTTGCACATGCTGGCAACTTCACGATTGCGAACATGGCATCTGATAGCCTCAGCTGGGAGCAACTTCACTTCGTTGGGTATCGCAAAGATGACCTCTTCGTCATCCAAGTGAATATGCTCACCATAGTCCAGCAAATACGCATCATAGCCGCCACCCTCCGCATGGGAATTTATTACAACACGTGGTATTATCCGCTCTTGGGCATCGTAGACAGCAAAGACTTCCCCAAAATTAGGCAACTGGTCCAGCATCTGTACCGTCATTTGGCCTGCTAGCAACATTTTTACTGGCATCGATTCCTCAGCCCACTTAGCTACGAAAATGCAATTCTCCGCTATATTGAGATGCATCACTGTAACCTGAACCACGCTGCTTTTCACAAAGCTGCCTATATTCTTGTAAAGCTGATCGTAAGTTTCATTGGCTGACATTTGCCGGCCGCCTTTTGGTGCCAACAGCTTCGATTGACGTGGTGGAATGGGCAGCACAATTGGAGCAAAAATAGGTGTGGAAGATGTTGGCATATCATACATAAATTGATTGCTTTTTATACTACAATTCTTTGGTGTTATGAGCTGTAGGGCGCATCCTTCGGGCTGATCATCCAGCTTAGCATTAGCCGAGTGTACATCTAGTTCAATGCTATCTAGGTTTGTGTTGTTTTCCTTGTTATAGTGCTTTGTTGGCTTGGTGTCCTCATTCTTTAAAATGTCAATGGAACGGTTTAAGTTTATATGTAAATTCAATTTTATCATATATTCGTTGACAGCGTTCACGCTGCTCAAAAGACCATCGTGAAGCGAAATAATGCGACCATCAGAACGACCGACATGCGACCAGCTTTGTTCAAGTGTTCGTCGAACAGTATCCACTTCAACTTGATAAGCAGTTAGATTTGATTGTAATTTGTTCACATTGCGTTCGAATAGCGCCAAAATCGACGAAAGATCGTCCATATCCATATTCAAATTGGTATCGAGTTATCAAAGAACTTTACAAGATAGCGGCAAAGCATCGACTGCAACATGTTTGATATGGCAGCAGTTCAACGTCGTTGTAGAGCACTAAAATAGTATTTCTACTAAGCTACAACTGCAACTAACTTTAACAGAAAAGTAGCTTATTCAAATTGGAAAATTTATGTAATCTTATATCGATACCCTTGAAAATTCATTATTTATTTAAACTTATTTATGATTAAAAAACCGTTAATATGATATGCATACTAGCTTTAAATAATCGATAAGTTTATAAAGTTTCTTAGCACTACATTACACGCAAGAATTTACCAACACTGGCTCATGTGCCGCATATAAAATCGCGCTCGTTTGCTTATTTTGTTAGGATTGCAGAATTAATTATTTACAATGAGTGAAGATACCGTACCGAATTTCGTAAGACTATTACAACCTTGCACCATTAGTCGAATTCATAATTTTCTTCTCCAGGAACTTGGCGATGCACTCGCCACGCGCTGCGGCAATACTTTAACTGCAAGATTCGTACCAGGCGGCTCTAAAATAGCGCTGAGTGCATATCGGCCAGTTAAGTGGAGCACACGCGACGTGCCGAGCGAAACAGCTGCAGAGGACCCTGTGCTTATATATATGGCACAGGAAGCGACTCTTTACGGGGAACCACTGCTTCGTAGCTTACTAGCTGAAACAAATGCCACATTTGCAACTCTACAGACTTTGAGCCAGGGGCCGAAAGGAGACGCAAAGAAAACAATAGAGTACATAAAAATTTCCAGAACATATCGTAGTATAGTGCGTTGCTGCCTCGAGAAACTGGAACACGCTAAAAAATTGCCTGAAGTACAAGAGAATGATGCCAAGCAACAACAACATACGGACGCAATATTAACATTCTATGCAATTGAATGCCTATGGCATTTGTTTGAAATACTCTACATGCAGCAGCAGCACAATCAGCTGATTGTCCCCCAGCTATTGGAATGGACACGCTTTCATTATCCTAATACGGAAGATACTGCTACTGATTTGTTGCTCATGGCCGAAGAGGCCAGCGAATGCGACAGCTATTGGGACACATTAAAAACACTCATAATGCTCGGTCAGCTGGACGTAACACGTGCCATACTCTCGCAGCATCGCAAATTCAACCAAGCAGCCTTTCAAACAGCAGAACAAGTGCTCAAGTCCATGCCAGTTTATCAAGATGGATATGCAATGCAAAAGTTTTGCTCCCAGTGGGAGTACTGGCATGTGGACTTAGAGCGAAAATTAGCTGCTCATATGTTTGCTACCGAACCACAGCTTGAGCTGCTTATGCAGCTGGTTTCAGGCAGCAACGAGCATTGGGATGCGGCACTGCTGAAATCCCAGGACTGGTATGAGTTTCTACCGGGCTATTTGCTCTTCACGAGGCCTGCGTGCAAACCATTTGAGCTGCGAATTGCTGCGAGCAACTGGGTTAACCGCTGGTCAGGGCTTCGCCCTAACTGGGAGATGACGCAAATGAGTCGCATGGTTTTGCAGCTGATGGAGCACGATGTCAAGCTCTTTATCTACGATATGCAGAAGCTAAATGACAGTCATTGGTTCGCTACACATCTCATAGATCTAATCTATCACTCGGGACAGCTCAAGTCATATTTTGAACAGCAGCACGTGTAAGTATTGTGGCACACGAATTAAATATACCGTTTTAATATCTGACCCCGTAGTGACCTCCCCGCATTGCGGTACTCAATGGTGTTTGAGTATGGCAGCTATTTGATGACCTCGCACAACCTCTGGCAACTGGGCATTGATTATTTAGACTGCTGCAAGCAAGAGGGAGTTGCAGCGATAGAACAGCTGTTGCCGCGCATTCCCCTGAAGAGCGAACGTCAAGCTTTTAAGATAATCGCAATGGCTAAAGAACGTGGTCTAGTTAACGTCGAACAGGACATCTGCAAAGTGCTATCAAAGCGGGCGTATTCCGATCAGCGATATGGCAGTGCTCTTGAATGGGCTGTACGCTCAAAGGATGTTTTGCTTGTTACGGCCATCGCCGACTTTATACTGAAGGTATCTAAGACCTTAACATTTTAATTGGTAACCCTGACCTGATCTATGATCAACCTATATTGTATTATCACTCACAGCACTATTCCAGTACTGGTGTCATACTCTGTCCAGATGTTATAACAAGCATTGGAGCACGCATGTTTGTGTCGCCACGTTTGGTATTTCTTTCAAAGTATTTCGAGTTCTATGAGTTTTACCGGCAACGTGACTTTTTGTCTGGTGCTGAACTGCTTATCAATCTTCTGGCTTCGAAAATAACGCCCGATTAGTATGTGATACTATATTTTGTTATTCCTTATTGAGTAATACACATTGCATTAACAGCTTCTGGCCCTCGCTGCTCATTGATGCTCTGCCGCTACTGGAGTCCGAAGATCCGAAGATTTTTTGCAAGGAGACTATTGCTATACTACAGCATTTGGAAATGGAGCTAGTACCATTAATAGAACGCAACAAACTAAACACTGCCAAGTTTAACAATGTAAGCAAATATTTTGCAATATTTATTCATCAAGTTGTTATAATTCTTGTCTTTGTTTCACATCAAAACAGCAAACATCTAAAACTGTGTTCAGCGACTACCGCGTGGAGAATGTTGAGGAGATATTGGATCTGATGCGCTTAGCATGTGCCCGAAATCTGTCCAGAGCAATGATCATTGAGAATACAGCACCCACTACGTAATTGTTTGATATATTTCCTTTGTAGTGTATTTTATTTAATATTTTCGCTTTTCAATACATCGTAATCGTAATTTGTTGTAAACGTTTATTGCATTGCTAATTTCTTTTTATTTATACGGTTTGTTTATTTGTGCCTCTTTTTGTCGTGTATTATTTATTGTAAGTACCAACAACGCTAGATGTCTGATTAAGACTGTCTCATTTGGCCGAAAGCAACTGACCGCGATGCAACTTAAACCGTAAAAATATTAAATTAAAGCATTTTGGGTACTCTATTGTTGACAAATTTTGTAAGCAGGATTTGAATTATATATGCTAGTCTATAGGATTATGTTCTTTTCTTTTCGTAAGGCAAATTAAAATCTTAAGTCGAACTTAAAACGAAATTATAAACTTAAAGTGTTCTATAGATAAATACATAGTTGTGTTTATAGCTGCACAGGATTTAGGGTAATGCACCTAAGAACTAAGAAACAACGCACAGAGCACAATGGAGTAGTCCGTATACTATATATGGGTATATAATTACTATATATTTATAGTTTATATATATATATATATATATATATATAAATATATATATATATATGATAATGAGAATCGCACGGCCTTGTACAAATGTTATTTACTAACGACTAAACACGGAATTACATACACAAATCCAGCAAGGAAAGGCGCGAAATATTCAAACGAAAAACTAGCCCATTGCTATTATTTTATGCTTAAAAATCTTTTAAAATCACTAATTTGCAACGTTAATTGTAAAACGATAAATAATAACAAAACTGAACAAAATACGAGGCTGAAACTTTCTAAGTATTCAAATCCTCAACTATGTGAGTAAATTGGAGGGGATTCACGCATTTTGACTGTACGAATTTGGCATAATTGTAAAAAATCAATGCTTTGTTATGCTCCAGAAGTGGATACCCTTAACTAGTATTACGGTACGTTATAATAAGGAGCTATAATCGGGTTTGAGTATTTTCGCTTTTGTTATATGCTATATGGTATAATGCGCGTATATATGTATGTCGAAAGTTTTTTTTAGGAAGGTATCTAATTATGCTTCGCCGTGGTCGCTGATGCTACTGCTGCTGCGCTCGTCGAGGAGGCAGTTGTTGTGGTTGCAGTAGCTGCTACAGCAGCCGTTGCAGCTGCAGCAGCTGCGGCAATGGCTGTGGCAGCAGCACTGCCGCTCGTTATGGAGCCCAAACGTGACAGCGATGGCTCCCGCTTGGGTGGTACAATTGGCTTAGTCGGTATAGGGGGTGGTGCGCCGCGGGCACCTGCTGGTGGCACAGTCACAGGTGGCACAGCGATGGGTACAGGATGTGGATGCGGTGGTGTTGTGGTCTGATCCAACGCAGCAGCAGCAGCTAGTGCCGCATACTTGCCGCCCGGCGCACGTTGTATAGTCGCCGTCGGCTGCATTTTAGCCGGCGAGGGAGATGGTGGAGCAGCAGCAACAGCAGCACTGGAAATGGCAGCAGTTACATCCGTTGCGGCGACAATGCTGCAGTTGTGATTGACAGCAGCCAGGGCTGATGGTGCCGTGGGTGCGGTAGCGGTCCCCGTTGGCACAGTGGCAATGCCAGCAGCAGCGCTGCGTATGTTTTGCCCTGGCACAATAGACCGTGCTATGCCCGTTTGAGGGCCCGACACCGGCATGCTGGTCACTGTCGCAGTTGGTTGAACTATTTTCGCAATATTTACCAAAGGCGTGGCACATGCGTCGTCTGCAACAACATATGATAATTGATTAACAATAGGCATATCAACATATAAACGTTTCCACACATATTTACACATAATAAATACAATTCAAATAATCTTCATTACTATTAAGCTTATACACATAATTCTACTTCGTTTAGCTAATACATTATATTATACAATATGGACAAGAAAGCTTTTTAGATGCTCTGCTGATTAAAAACCAAAGTAAATTGGGTGCTATATTTTGTAAATGAGAAGCTCCATCTGATAGGTAACTCTAATAATTCTAATTCTATGCCAGTTGTATACTCTCAACTCTAGAACTTCACATTCATTTGCAGACATTACATGGTTTTCATAAAGCATTGGCAGTAAGTGTGGAAAATTGAAATAAAAGCGTGATAAAAGCGTGTGCAACATCTTGAGACCACCTAAGTCTAAGTTAAACTTGAATTTTAAACTATGACAGACAACCCCATTACAATTTAAATTCAGCATAGATGGGAAATATATAAATCGACAGTCTACTTATCAGATGTGTTTGCATATTGTCTAACAACTATTATACATCTCGTTGATGTATACTAACATAGCATTGACTGGCACTGTGAACGTCTTTTGTGTGTGTGTGATATGTGCATGTGTGTGGGTTTTGGTGGAATGCAGATGCGCAAATTGGCTTATGGTGCTGTCATCACAAGTAAGAAACAAGGAAAGAGAAAACAAATCACCTTGCAAATTGCGTAAGATATTTTCTAACAAAATATTTCATCTTTGAGAGGGACACGAAAAAATATATAGAATTATTCATAAATCAAATAAATTAGAAAACAGAAAAAGGTTAAATCATAATGACAACAGCCAAAGTCAGCCATTCAGCTGAGCACTACGTACCACTGAATTGACGCGCCTTGCCAGCGGCTGCCACCGTTGAGCCGCTGGCGGCCAGCTGCTGTTGCTGTTGATGTTGCTTCTTCAATGCCTCGTGGTCGCTGCGTAGCGTGTTCAGCTCCTGTTCCAATTCTTTTACACTGCATATGAAATATTTAGTAAAACAAGTAGCAGAGACATGTTAAAGAAACGCATACCGCATCTCTTCCTTGGCCAATTTGGACATCAGAGTTTTGCGCTCTAGCTCCATGGACTGTGTTTGCTTTTCGAGCTCCTCCTCCATGCGCAGCGACTTTTTGCTCTCCTCCTCGAGACCCTCGGCAATGGTATCAGAGCGTTGCTTTTCTTCGGCCAGAATTTGAGCTAGATCCTCGGAGCGTTTACCTGTAAATGTTTTGTTTTTAGAATCAAGTGTGCATGCTATTTAAATGCTGATTAGAAAACCACTCACCCTCCTCAATGTACTTCATTAGAATCTTCTTTCGTTCTGCGATAAGTAGCAGCACAATTTGCTTTTGCCGGTTACGCTCATATTCGAGCGTCTCTTGCAGCTTCTTGAGATCCTTTTCCATGTTGGCGACTTGGGCATGCTCGGCGTCTAACTGTTGACGCAGTTTGGTGCGCTCCATTTCCAGACCATAGGTTATATCATCGCCCTGAGCGGTATCATGCTCATGCTTGCGTCTCTCCTCCTCCAGCTGCTGCAGCATGCGCTGATTATTCTCCAGCGATTCAGTCAATATGTTAACCATACGCACATGTGTGCCTCGCTGCTTGCTGACCATCTGATACTGCTGCTCCATTTGCTGCTCAATGATCTGTCGAACTTCCATCTCGGCTTGAGCGGCCTGCGTAGAGGACTCGCGAGAAATAAGATTGCCATTCAATGCGATCTTATCTCGAAATAGCGAAGCATACGGATCATTTGGCTGCACGCGTTTAGTTCGCAGCTGTGTGATCAGCTGCTTAACGCGCTCGTTGCGTAGCGCAGCTATGCAAACATCCCGTGCCTGCAGCTCGCCCTCCAAGTAGTAAAGCATCTTTACTAATTCACTATGTGGCAGCTCAGTTCGTCCATTGCCCATATGCTGCTGCTGCTGTTGCTGAAGTTGCAGTTTATGTCCTGCACCCGGTTTCATGGTTTGGAATTCATGTGTGGCACTTATGTCGCTGCCGCTGCTGCAGGCGGCGGTAGTAGCAGTCGTTATTGGACTGTTAACATCCAGCTCCTGCTCGGCAGAGATAGTGCTGGAGTTCTGCTCCATTATCCTGGCTTTTTTTACAGCATAAAAAAATTGTTGTTCAAGGCTGCGTCGCAGTTTGTAAATTTTTAAATACAGTTTCAACTTTAAATTGCACTTGTCTCCGATGTGTTGCCCTATTTAAATGGCATTTTAATGGCTGTAATGTGGGTTAATTTGCTAAATTCTATGCCATACAAATTCTTTGTTGCCGTGAAAAAGTGGATACTTCTTGTTAGAGATGGTACACGAAACTATCGTTTTATCGGTGTGGCAATAAGCGATTCTAACAAATTGTACTAATAATCGGACAACCTCAACAATCGCGCAAATACTCAACACTGAATAAGCATTACTGCACACATTGGACATCTAACAACACTGAAAATTTATTCTACCTTCATTGGAGTTGGTATTATGTACAAACCGATATGAAAATGACTATTTTCTAAAGACAAATGGCTTTGATGTATTGTAAGCCAGAGAATGGCGAATATGTTTGCCCACCAAACGATCGGCCAGTGGTATTAACGCCGGTTTCCTTACATAAATACCGGTTGCCTGTGGCGTCCAAACACGCAAGGTACACTCTGAGTTCTCAGGCATCAGCAGACCTAGCCAACCGGCGGAGCTAAGAGTTATATCACAATTAAGTTGTTTTCCATCGTTACTATCGTCCGACGCGCCATTCTTAATGACAATGTCCATTTCCATGCACTGCAATCCGGGCCAGCGTTGCAGACGTGTTTCATCCCCACCAGACATGGGCACACCTAACACAGAGGTACCCAAATATCGTTTATAAACTAACTCTGCCTTCGATGTATCAGCTATGAGAAACGGCAGTGTTTCGGCGGTAAAAACAAACAGTTTTAACCAGTCCCGATTGCATTCCAACAAATCTACGCGGGCCAAGCCGCCCAATAGCAGCGACATATTGGCTGCCAGGCGAACTGCTCTGGGCTTAAGCATCTTTGTCGGCTGTAGCTGTAGCAACTCCTGCGTCGTTAGCAGTGGCGTCAATTGATCAGGCTGCATAACACCAGGCGTATCGTAAACCCAACGGGCTTTCCGATACTCCGCCTTCCGCTCGTTTAGTGTTGTTATGGGTTGTGTGCCACTTGACATTGCAAAGGCATCCTCCACATCTACGCGATTCTCAAAGGTGCGTCCTACTGTTCCAATAAGTTGAGCCGATGTCTGAGAGCCTGATTCCTTAGCCTGCTCACGCCGAAGTTTTTCCTGTGCCGCTCGCGGTTCTCTTTCCATTAAAAGGCGCTTAAAACGAGTATAGACTCGCGAATCAGATGGCCGTAGTATGGGAAACCTGAGCATTTGCAGTGTTGTGCCTGGCCAAGCACAAGTCGTTGCCTTCCGCACAAGCTCCGTGGCCTCGGGTCGACAATAATCCGAATTTAACAATATATTGAACAGCGAGCTCTTGCCCACGTTGGTACAGCCCACCAAATAGACGTCGCCCTTATATTCCCAAATGTTGTGCAGCTGCGTTATGAGCTCCTCAATCCCAAAGCCAGTCTTGGCCGATATAAGACTTACATTTTTAATGTTTAGTGCATTGAAGCCACCGTGTTCTATGAACTGCTGCTTGAGGCAACTCTTCACATGCGTTAAATAGCTGTTGCAGTCACGCGGCAGCAGATCCACTTTGTTGCCCACCAGAAAAACTGGTCGCTTGCTACCAAGCACCTGTTGCATCCCCGGCCAAATGGAGCTCGGAAAATCCAACAGATCAACAATAATTATAGCCAAAGCATATTTGTCTTGTATTCGCGAAATGGTTTCCACATAAGCCGACGGCGGAACCTCCACATCCAGTGCAATATTATAGTTCTTAAGAAAATGGCAACGCTGGCAGGTAATTGTTTGTAGTTCAGTATTTGTGCGACCCTTTATATTTTAATAATATTAGTATGAAATAAGTAAGTAATTATATGGATACTCACTATAAAAATTTCGCTGGGTATGTAGCCAGGCGTGGAGCTACTGGCACAGTGTAAATGTGCTCCACATCCATTGCACGGCACCGTTGATGGTGGCTCTGTTGCATCGGCAGTTCCATATTGTGAATCAATATTACCCCCCTCACCGCTCGCACCTTTATAGAACTCATAATCGTCCATCCAGTTAGGCGGATATGATGAAGGTTTTGGTGCTGCCAGTTCGCTATCTAAGGGTTTTAAAGCATCCAATGGTGGAAAAGCCGTTGAATTTCTTTGGTCAAATTTCATTCGTTGCCCGAAAAAGTGCTCGAGGTAAGAGCTGTAGTGCACGTGCTCATAGTTGGCATAGCGTTGACGTGCCGCATGCCAAACTCTTTGGCGAAAGCTGTGTTTTTCATTTGGTGTTGTGTTTTGTAATCTTTTCCAAACACACAAAACATTTTCATTTAATTTCTTTAAAAATCGTGTTCTTAACATTTTAAGGCACAGACATGCCAACTAACTCTCGTCGCTATAAAACTGTTGAGTGATAGTGCTGTTAAACAGTGTGCTGTGTTACTAGTGTTAATAAACGCGTTGGAAAAAGCAAAAAAACACTCGTCGGAAAAGAGAAAAAAGAAAGCAGCAAAGCAAGCATTAGCGAAAGCAGAGCGTGTACAGAAGGTGAGTGAGTGCGTGCTAAAAAAGCGTGTATGTATTAAATTGAAAGAAAAAAGGAAAGAAAAACGTGGACAGAGCGCATACAAAATGCATTTGCAATGATCATTATTCAATTGCACACAATACGCATTGGTAAAAGTACAGAGTGCAACCCAAATAATGATTAGGAAAGTGTAGAAAAAGACAAGTGTATATGTGTGTCGTGTATGCAACTGTGTGCCTGCTGTATCGCGTTCGTGTGTGCGTGTATGTGTCAGTGTCTGTGAATTAAAGTAAAACGAAGCGCGACCTAATTTTAAACTAAATATTACAATAATATTTGCATATACAAGTACAAATATGACATTACAGAAACATCAGAACGTGCAAAAGGCAAATTACCAATGCAATAAAAACCCGAACATTTGTTGTTGTGGCATGCCACGAAGAGTTGATTTGCCGCTGTTGCCCTCGCCGCTGCCGCCGCCATTGTCTAGGAGGCAACAGCGACTCTCGCACATTTCTTCTTCAGTGAATTTTGAGTAGTTCGTTCGTTCCTTTGCCTCATCAAATATTGTTGTTGTGAGCGCCATGTTGAGTAATACACGACACAACAACAACATTTGCGAGAGCGGCTCATCAATTTTGTGAGTGTTGCAACTTTCGTTCGAACTCGTTTCAAATTATTGTGGCTGCCGTCACTCTTTCACTCTTCTCTGTTGTCTTTTCTCAGTTTCAAAACTGGTATTTTATTAATGAAGAAATAAACATATGCATGCGATTGTGGGTGTTTTCTGCCTATTGGTGTGTAAACAGAAAAAGGGGAAAAATCAATACTCGACCAATAGTGTAATACAAATTAGACAATTCCAACATCACTCTACAACTTATCTTATTGCCGCGCTGCTTAACTGCTTCTAAACTAGTGCAAGTGAGAGAGATAGTTGCATTTTTATAAATGCACGCATACAAATGCAATTGAAATTTCCAACAAATGTCTACCCTCGTCGTCTTCGCTGTTGTAGTTGTTATGGTTGCTGTTGTAATGTAATTGCGAAATCATAACGGCAGTTGAAAGTTGAGAGCGCTTAACCAAGTGTGTGTGTTGAGTTTGTGTATATATTGACAAGTATGTGTGAGCCTTTGCTGTAAAGCTTATGCTTAGACGAAGTTTGTACGCGCTACTCTGTTGCGATCTCAAGCCGCCCACACAGAGCCGGCGCAAGTGTAGCGCATATGGAAGTGTCGACAAGCTGGTCCCAGCAAATGTCGCAACAGCAACACATGTTGGGTGCACAGTGGAGCGCTGACCGTCGTAACGTTTCTTAAAATTATTAAACGATTTATTTTTATCAAAACTAAATTTCAAAAATTTTGAAAAATGTACATTTTTCACCAAACAGCGTACTCCGAAAACAATAAACGAACTGCTGACTATTACATATCTATAAAGTTCTCATATGCATAAATATACAGTGGTTCACAGCTTATTTCAACCAGCACCTTAAAAAAAGTTTGTTGGGCTATAAAATCTAAACTATTGAGGGTATCCCGAAAATTTAAATGTAGGTTGTTAGTGTGATGCTTAAACTAATAAAAAATCAATTCATTTATTTTTTAAATATTTTTTCAATATTTAATAATGTTTAAAAACTAAAAAATGAGACCAAAACAGTTCCACAGCTTATTTCAACCACAAACTTTGCAGCTGATGAAAGATCCGTTATTTTGCAATGCAACGGTAGATTCTTGTTCTATGCTTTATTCACTGTTTTCGCATTGTGATAAAATAAATTTTTGCAGAATTTTGAAAGCTCAACTTTCAGAAAAGTGAATTTAGCAACATGGGACCACGCACACCTATTGAGCAGCGGGAACTCGTTCTCAAACACTATAAAAATGGTCATTCCCGTAGAAAAATTGCTGAGATGGTTGGATTTAGTGATTCTACAGTTCAAAGCATCATATACCGGTTTGTCCGTGAAAATAGAACCCACGATAAAGGCAGAAATGCTCCAAACAAAATTTTTAATCCCACGGACGAGCGCTATATTGTGAGAAAAATCCGGGATAACCCAAGGATATCGGCTCGACAAGTAGCCAATGATGTTAAGGAGGAGTTGGGCAAGTCATGCCACCCAGAAACTATTCGCCGTGTGCTTCGGGAACATGACTTTAATGGCAGAGTACCACGCAAGAAGCCTTTTATAAGCGACAAAAACAAGAAGTGTCGCTTAAAATTTGCCCAGGAGCACTTGCACAAGGACATTGGATTCTGGAATACTGTTTTATTTTGCGATGAGTCCAAATTTAATTTGTTTGGGTCGGATGGGCCCTCATATGTGTGGCGTAAGCCTAACACAGAGCTTGACGCAAAACATTTGAGGGCTACAGTAAAGCATGGCGGAGGCAGCCTTATGGTTTGGGCCTGTATGTCAGCAGCCGGCGTTGGGAACTTAGAGTTCATTGAGACTACGATGGATAAAGGCAAATATCTTGATATTTTGAAGTCCAATTTAATTCAAAGTGCTCAGAAACTGGGCATAAAGGAGGACTTCAGATTTTATCAAGATAATGACCCGAAACACACTGCGGGAATTGTCCAGACTTGGTTGATCTGGAAATGTCCGCACGTTATGAAACCACCAGCCCAGTCACCAGATTTAAATGTAATCGAGAATTTGTGGTCGATTTTGGAAAAAAACATTCGCAAACACAATATATCCAACAAATCGGACCTAAAAGCTGCATTGGTTGAAGAATGGGACAAAATTACTCCAGAAGTCACCAAAAAGTTGGTTGAATCTATCCCAAAAAGACTTAAAATAATAGTTAACCAAAAGGGTGGTCACACTAAGTATTAATTTCTTATTATTTTATGTTATTTTAGTGTTATATAATGTTATTTCATAAGTGGTTGAAATAAGCTGTGGAACTGTTTTGGTCTCATTTTTTAGTTTTTAAACATTATTAAATATTGAAAAAATATTTAAAAAATAAATGAATTGATTTTTTATTAGTTTAAGCATCACACTAACAACCTGCATTTAAATTTTCGGGATACCCCCAATAGTTTAGATTTTATAGCCCAACAAACTTTTTTTAAGGTGCTGGTTGAAATAAGCTGTGAACCACTGTATATGTATATATATATTCATTTTCATATGTGTATTCCAGAAGCACACTGTGCGGGAGCAACAAAATTTCAAATAAGCAACGCAAATGACTAAAATGCAGAAATTGCCTTGAAAAGTGAAAGGCATTCAATGTGAGCGTACGAGTGAGCGAGTCTTTGATATTTTGTTTAACCTTTGTCGCTCTTTTGTTGTTATTCTTTTTTTTTTTTACTTGTTACTGTGGGCCAACTTTGCACATTTGACATTTTCCAACACACACTCGGTACATTCCATGCCCGGTGCTGCACATTGCGTCTGCGCAAAATACTTTTTGCTATTGTATAGAATGTTTTTGGCTGTGAATCGTCGTCGTCAGTTGTCGTTGTGCAACGCTTAAGACTCCGCCAGCGATAGCGACAGAGTCAGCGCGGCTGCCTACTCTTTCGCAATTTGCAAGTTTGGCTCAGCGCTCTCACGACGGTCACACTCGATGCGAACTGTGTGAAATTTCGCCAAGTTTGTGCTTATTTTATATTGGCCAGCTATTTAGAGTCACGTTTTGTTTTGTTATGTATATATATTCCATTAACTATGTTTGTTTTTTATTTGCAGAATTCAAGGAAAATCTTTAAACCTATCAAAGTGAAGTAAAGAGATATTTTACTAAAGTTTTTTTGGCTGCGCGTCTAAATTTCAATTCTCCTGCCTGTCTCACAACTCTGAGCGCGCGTTTTCTTTTAACGCTCTCCAGGCCATAACAAAAACAAAAGCTTCTACATGATGTCGTCGGACCAACAGTTTTTTCTAAAATGGAACGATTTTCAAACGAATATGGTGACCTCGTTCCGTCACTTGCGCGATGAGAAGAGCTTCACAGATGTAAGTTTCGCCCTTCTGTAATTTTTTCAGCAATTGCACCTGTATCTCCCATTATGGCCTACAACCGAATTCCTGAATACCTCGTATTTTCCAATAACAATTATGTCTAGTCATTAGTACATCCATTCTATCTACCTGCTCATCTTTCAGACTTCTCATTAACCATTTACCTATTGTCTTTCATTATTTTGAACTCGTTTAATACATTTCTTCAACTTTTTTTATTCAGGTTACACTTGCCTGCGAAGGTCAAACTTGCAAAGCACACAAAATGGTGCTTTCAGCTTGCAGTCCCTACTTTAAGGCGCTATTAGAGGTAAGTCATATTTCTGTATATTCCACGCACAATTTCTAATCTGAAACTATCATATTTTTGTGAATTGTAGGAAAATCCCTCAAAGCATCCCATCATTATACTGAAAGATGTATCCTACATACACCTGCAGGCAATACTAGAGTTTATGTACGCCGGCGAAGTAAATGTATCGCAAGAACAACTGCCAGCATTTCTTAAAACGGCTGATCGACTTAAAGTGAAAGGTCTGGCAGAGACACCTAGTTCTATAAAGCGGGAGGGTTGATGGTATTTAAACAAATAAAAAATATAAACACAACTATAAGAAACTTATATACGCAAGCAAGAAAACAAAATTCCAACAAACGAAAGAAAAATAGTGGAACATAGCTAAAAACAACATTTGAGATATATACACAAACTTCATTTCAAAACTCAATGCACACCCACAAGCACACAAAGTTGACAGATACACGATAGTTCAAACTAAAAAGTAACGTTTACGATTTTATGACCCCAGACCGCCCTATCCCCTTCTAGATCAACAGATTTGCAATATTTACGAACACTGTCGACCCATTGAATTTGATTTGAATCGTATTTTTAATTTCATCATAAAATAGTTTGTAATATACTATTCTTAAAAATAAACAAAGAAAAAAAAACACAAAACACTGTATAAAAAGCAAAATATGGACAACCCTACATAACAAAGGAATGAAAAAGTACGCACTTTTGTAAAGTAAATAAAAGAGAATTCATAAAAAAATATATAGAAGCATAGTTATATACATAATGTAATGTGAAAAATGTGCAAGTAGAGAGTTAAAGATCATCCGCACGTCAGCGAATATTTACAACACATTCAGTTAGATCTTAAGCCACTAACTAAAATCCACAACATTTCACTCTTTTCACACACTCACGCACTGACGACAAACACACTCAAGAACAGAAACAAAAATTTAATTAAAAAAACCAATTCTTAATTGAAAACTTTAATTACTTTACTTTATTCTAACAATATTGTTCAATATTCATACCATAAACATATATGTAACAACACAACACAACAACAACAATAACGTTTACCGTTTGCGATATAAAGATAGAAACTTTCATGTAAAGCTATCAATTCTACTTAGTTTTTTAAATAATACACATAAACTTGATGAAAAATTTAAAAACAACAAACAAGAAAAACGATACTTGAATATTATTACATAAAGTAAAATATTTATATGTATGTATATGTATACATGTGAGCATAGATTTAAATAACTACGATAAATAAACAGAATAATTCCAAAAAAATAATATACCAATCCTCATATCATATCGGCGTACACAAGTTAATTATTTAAAATTAAGAACTTGGTTAAGACGCAGTCGCCCTCTAAATGAATGAATTATAAAGTTAGTCAAAACCCGTGAAATTAAATGTTGCAATTCTTTGAATTTTATTACTTTGATTTCGTACATAACATATCCATATTCTCGTGTTTTCCACATATATATTTCTCTTTCTTTTTCTCTTATTGACAATTTAACATTATCGATGGCACTTCTCGCATATTATACCAAGTTTTTTATATTTCTACTATAAGATTCGCAAGCAGAAATGATCAGTGAAGTGTAGCCAATTATTGCAGAGATTGTATTGCAATTTCGATTTAAAAAATTAATTTACATTATACTAAATGTGCTTATATCTAATTATTAAAACAATACGCATTACGCGTATTCGGCTCAAACGGATCAGTGCGCATTTTCTCCTGATTATCCTCAACGTAGCGCGTAACGTCCGTAATGAGATTGGGTCGCTCGTCGGCGCTCGGCGCACACGGTGACCAAATTTTGATATCATGATCAATGCCACTGGTGGCCAGCATGCAAATACTTGGATGTGGCTGCACACAGTTAACAATGGCACTATCGGCACGGTAGACGGCACGTATTTTGGCCGTCTCGCCCTCCCAGATGTAAAAGTTTCCGTCATCTGAACCAGCGGTAATGAACTCGCCATTAAGGCCCAAGTAGTTGGCCTCCTTGATGTCCGTTGTGATGTTGCAATGGCCCACATAGCGCTGCTTGTAGTCCTTGGCAGCACGGCGTTGGGCATAGTCATCGTCGGTCAGGCGCAAATAGCGTAGTCCGCTCTCAATAAGCATTGGTTCCTGATCGGACGGTTGACCGCTTCCCTGCGCTTGCTGCTGCTGCTGCTGTTGTTGTCGGTTTTCGTTTATGTCCTTATGCAGCATGAGCACGCCATGATTATTGGCGAAACTGGGAAAGCGTTGTATAAGCTCTTGTAAGCACTTATCCGCTTCATGTGGCCGGTGCAACTCAAGAAGAGCACGTGCCAATCGAAAATGCGCCTTCACATAGGTGGGATCCAGTCGTAACGCTTCGTGGCAATCTCGTAGCGCTGCATATATATCGCCAAACCAGCCACGGCGCATCAAGGCGGTAGCCCGATTTAAGTAAAGCACCTCTCCCTGCGGATACTCAGCCAGAGCGGCAGAATACGTATCAATCGCAGCCAGCAATTTGCCATTTTCCAAATGTTCATTGCCCAGTTTCTTGTGCCGCTCAATTCTCGTTGGCAAAGTGCGACGTTTCTGCTCCTTCTTGGTTTTTATTTCTAGTTTAGCACCGTTAGTATTCGTCGTGTCGGAAATTTCTTCCTGCTCCGCCTGCATAGTCGGTGGCGATGCTGTGTACTCAGGCAGTTCGTAGAAGGTTGGCGGCGTGGCATTGTGTAGATCATAGCGATAGATATGTTCACAGCCCATATTCACCAAGAGCTCCGTTGAGTTATAGTTGTTGAAAGTCAGGTAGGTGACGGTGCGCGATTCATGAACGATGTTGCGACTGATGTTCTTTACAATCTGTCCGGGGGCAAAGTAGGACACACAGCTGCTGGCTATAAAGTAGGTACAAAACTTAAGAATTTGCTTTTGATGGTTGGGAATGAGAAGAGCGCGGTACAAATCTGCAATTACCTTCGCCTGGCAGCATTCGGCGATCAAAGAGTCGCGCATATGGATCGTTGGCACCCACTGCCAGATACTCGGTACGCCTTGGATTAATTGCCAGACACTTTGCCTCCGTTGTGGACTCAACCTGAGTGCAAAGGCTTAGTAGACGGACGCCGCCTGTCGACGGCTGCTGATCATCAGGACCGCGACAGCGATGTGCCTCCCGCATGTCCAATTGTAAGATGCTGCCATCTTCGCCGGCGGACCAGAATATGTGCGGTGAGTCTGGCGCAGTGGCCAATCGCTTGGCACGCATCGTGTGACAATTGCACGTGAACAATGTCGCGTTGCCGTGATTTATGTCGTAGACATAGATATATTTGTCAGCGCCACAGGTGGCCACAATGCTGTTGTTGTGACGCGGTAGAAATTTTACGGAAAATATATTGCCCAGATGTTTAGTGTCAATTGTTTGGACGCGCCGCTTGCGAAACGGATCCCATATCATTACTTTATAATCATCCGAACCGGAGGCCAACAAAAGCCCATCGCTTGTCCACTCGAGACAGTTGACACAGCCATCGTGTCCGGTCAGCAGCGTCTCTTGCTCGAGGCGGTCAATGTATGCTGGCGACGCTTGCAGTCGCCGACGCAACTGTTCGTCCACATCGCAGCCAAATTGTTGACGCTGCCAGTGCAACGAGCTGGCATTCAAGGGCGTCCGATGTTCTGCGCTCTCGTGGCGTTGATAACGCGAACTTGAATACTTAGTACGCCACAGCAGTTCATCGCTCGACATTATCTATCTAGTGGTTAGAAATGTTTAGAGGATTATGAAACTTGCTCTATTTATTATTGCATGTTGCCTTGCCTTTGCCGTTTGCAGTTGTCCGTTTTGATTCGCATCGCCTGCTGTGTTTGACTTTTTTCTTTTATTTTTGTTTTGTTACCCGTGACCCATACACGTTGCAATCAGATGCAATTTCGAGTTTCGTGAAAATCGAGTGCTGTTGTACATATGTATGCATATATATTTTGACGCAAAAATAAATAAAATAAAATAAATAAAAATAAACATATTTTGCTACTGAAAATTTTAAATACAAAATGTTACCATTTAGTTATTATATTTATGTATGAAATTCGGATATAACGTGTAGGAGTCGCACTAGTGATGAGCGCAATAGTTGCATGACAGACTAAATTCGTTTTCTTACTAATATGTGGTACCGTTCTTAAAAGTGAATGCAAAAATTTGACAAATGTCAAATTGTGGCAATAACAGTATGTCAAATGACATTAAATAAACAGGAGAATAGTAAGCTTAAATTATTTTTTTACACATCGGCCTATTTTGCAGCGGTATGCTGCATAAAAAACCATTAAAATCGCTAGTTATGCTTTAATGAAAGCCTATATACAATTTTTAGTAAGTCTACTCATTAATGAAAAAGTTACGTTAATCGATAAGATATCGATATGTTGGCCACGGTGCTGCAAGTGCAGACCATCGCTAATAATAATCAATAAACAGCAATTTTGGGTAGCAAAATACCAATTTTTGTATGAAAAAACTGTATACAAAGAGTGTTTGAAAAAGAGACGGTGAGTAAAATATGTCCAACGAAAAAGTGGACGACTGTGACAAAAATCAGAAGGTAGAACACGCAAAACAGACAACAAACAGTGTCTCGCACGATGATGACTCGGAATCGGATGAATATCAATCGGCGGGAGAGGGTGACGACGATGACGATACAACAACACCAACAACAGCAACTACTGCCCCCATACCTTCCCCACTGTCCGATGATTGTGTTGAGTTTCCAATGCATCGCAGCGTTTTCGAGAACGACATACGGACGCTGCAGCGTCGCCTACTTCTGAGCACTGCCGCAACAGAAGTGGCTGAAAAGGATAGGCATGGCAATACGCCCCTGCATCTGGCTGTTATGCTGGGACGCACCTGCTGTGTCCGTTTACTGCTTGCCAACAATGCACCCGTCAAAGTGAAGAACAATGAGGGCTGGTCACCACTGGCCGAAGCCATTAGCTACGGCCATCGACAGACCATTACTCAACTGCTGCGCATGCTTAAATTGCAATCGCGTGAGCACATGGAGAGCCGTCGTGAACGTCTCGTTGAAGCACTGCGTCAAATGCAGGACTTCTATATGGAATTCAAGTGGGACTTTCAGTCCTGGCTGCCGCTCGTCTCCCGAATTCTGCCCTCGGACATTTGCCGGTTGTATAAATGTGGCGCCTCGTTGCGACTGGACACAACGTTAGTGGACTTCAATGACATGCGGTGGGATCGTGGAGATATCTCGTTTCTGTTTCGCGGCGAGGCAGCGCCAAATGAGTCTCTAGTTCTGCTGGATAATGAACAGCAATGCTATCAGCGACTGCGCTATGAGGAGTCTGATATGGAGGATGAGGTGGATGTGCTTATGTCCACCGACATATTGGCCACTCAAATGTCCACGAAAACAATACAATTTGCACGGGCTCAACGCGGTTGGCTGTTCAGGGCTAATCGCAAGGAGTTGATAGGTGGCCAATATCAATGCGAAATCTACACCATTCAGGGTCTAGTACTAAAGCAGCGGAAGCGGCGTGAGCATTTATCTCACGAGGATTTGCAAAAGAATCGCGCCATCGTCGAGACAATCACCAAAGGCGGCAACCAGACAGATACTAATGCGGCCACAACTCCCACAACAGGCAGCAATCTAACATTGCCAGAGCTGCCCCGACGCAGCTCGCTGCCACCACCGCCCACCACGACGGTTACCTGGTCACAATATATTGAAGCGCCCGTGGGTAAATGCCCGCAATTGGGACGAGCTCCGGTTAACAAGCAATCAAATAAAACGTTACGGGCAACAGTTGCGATGAGCACAGATTTTCCGCTTAGTGTGGATATGCTGTTGGACGTACTGGAGGTGGTGGCACCACTCAAGCATATCAATAAGCTGCGCGAGTTTGTCACGCTCAAGCTGCCCACGGGCTTTCCCGTTAAGATAGAAATACCCGTGCTCCATACGGTCACCGCCAAGGTGACATTTCAGAAGTTTGAGTTTCGCGACAATATACCCGCTAAGCTATTCGAAGTACCCGCACATTATTGGGAGGATGTGCGGCGCTTTCAGGACTTATGACCTAGCGATGAATCGTCGTCCTCCTCATCAGCTGCCAATACGCCAAGCGCTGTCAAGCAGATCGATTTGAATCGCAACAGCAGGAGCCGATGCGACGATTCGAGTCGTACGCCGATTTCCGATTTTGATTAAGGCTGCTGGCGACTTCCCCTTTCGATCAAACCTTGCGCCTCGCACCAATATCCATTCGCAACGTTTGCCGCGCTCATCCCTGCTCGCCCTAGTTGATGATGTATGTCACAAGAAAATTGCAATTTTTACCATAAATTATCAATCAGTTAAATTATCGCAGTATCGCCGATTTTGTAGAAGTTGTCTTTGTTTTTGTCAATTAAATTGTGACGCTCTGAAAATTGCAATTTCGGACTAGAAACTTTAATGGCATTGAATTTGCTATGGACTTGTGACACCTGTTGAACGAATAACCTTCACAATTTTTTTAAGTGGAATTTAATGTGTGTCATTATCGCATAGCAAATTATCAATCAGTCTACGAGCGGCACAAAATTATGCTTAGATATAGTATATTGTCTGTGTTGTCAGGGTCTATATGTATATAAAACATATAAAAGTACATTCATCGTGCGTATTATGCATTATTTATTAATGTACAAGTATTTATTGTTGCACTTTACTTAAACATTCTTCATAGATTCCTTTTATCAGCCACTTAGTTTTAGACCTCTGGTCTCTGGTCCTAGTTCTAGTGCGAATCGCTTTGCTTGTTCTTGTTATCATTAATAATGAGTCAGGGTAAAAGTGAAGATTACGCTAGCAAGTGGTTCGCCTTCTAAAGAGTGGAAACATTGATAAAAGAACAACATTGAAAAAAGAAAACACTTAAATCTTATCTTTATCAGTTTTTCATGCAGTCACACACACAGAAATTAAATCAAATGTAGCCAATTAAAAATGTTTTTTTTTTTTTTAATTTTATTTTGTCTTGTTTGTGTTTAGTTTTTGTTTCAATTCTATGTTTAGTGCAATTATTTATTGACTTTTAAGCTTATATATATAAGTTAAACAAATTACCAAAAAAAGAAAAAACTTACAACAAATTCAGTTATTAAAGAAAAGCCACAATTTGTCATTTCCATAAGAGTCCACTTGACTCTACGAGATCTGTACTATAGAGAGAAGATATAGCGAACATACTATCGATCTATTAATAATAACACATAAATTTGCCTATTACTTAAGTTGTTTATATATTAAGATCAACAAAACGTCCGCAACTAGTTTCCTATACAATTTTCGTAATCAGCAAAAAGTATTTACGACGAGTGCGCAAAACAGAAAGCAGCTTCACAAATAAATAACCTTGCTCCACACACGTAGCCCCAAGTTTTTAAATATGTAATTAAGTTTTGTTTGCGCGTATGCTCAATGCATATTTATTTGTTTAATAATTATTGTAGACACTAGTTCTATGTTGCATTTGTACGCATTGACAGTCTGTATTTACACATATTTAATTAATCGACATCATTAATATATGTAAACACATAAAAAAAAAACAGAATATGAAAATAATAATAATACACATAAATGCGAAATCAATGGCTATTCAAATTTGTAACTTTTACTAGATGAAAAAATATACATTTATATTTATACACATAAATAAAATAAACCTGTAACACATGAGCATATATATACATATATAAGAGCTCTGCAATATATACACAAAACACACACACACCTATAAGCTGTAAATTGGGAAAAGTAATAAAACAGTTTTATCTAAAAAGAAACCTCTTGAATTATTTAAATTACGCGCATGTCATGTGCTGTTCAACACTAATTTTAAATTTCTGGCCAGCTGATTCAGCGATACTTAAAACAAAAAGTATCGGTATCGATTTTTTGTTCATGAACCTCGATACTATGAATATTTGTCATCAGCTAACCATCGAAGATTCTGCTCGGCATACATATATTTACTTGTATAATTATTAATATTAATAACTCCATATATAAATACAAAGCGTTAAAGTAGGCAACCATGATTGCTTCACGATTAGCGTTTCCGCTCAATGTAGCACTCCAACAATTTGTCCAACAAACTGCCCGCAACAACAACATGGTACGTCGTCAGATGTCGGGTATACACTTCCGGAGTGGTGCCTTCAAGCCAAAACCAGCAGAGATGCCATTCGGGTTATTCGCTATATTATGTGCAGTGATTCCTGGACTCTTTGTAGGTGCCACAATCAGCAAGAACGTGGCAAACTTTTTAGAAGAAAACGACTTGTTTGTGCCATCCGACGACGATGATGATGAAGACTAAGTGTACGCAACGGATGCGATAAATGGAGCAAGCTCTAGTCACGATTGGATTAGACAACATCTCAGTCAGCTTCATTCAGTTAACCCAACAAAGCCAAAACTTTACTTCAACACTATAGATTTTGCATTGTTAAACCAATTATAGCTCTAAGAATCAAGATTCACTTTTTGTACCTAAGTTGCTTCGAATCCTTTCTAAAAGAAATCTACAAATATTTATTCAAATATGCTTTTAAAACTTTTTACCAGCTAAGCTCTGCTAATAAAGACGATTGTTATAGCATTAAATAAAATTGATGACAGATTCATCGTTTGGGCATGTGTTATTTGTTGTTACATAAAAATGCGCGAATATGATATAAAAATAACTGTATATGCATATACAGTGGTTCACAGCTTATTTCAACCAGCACCTTAAAAAAAGTTTGTTGGGCTATAAAATCTAAACTATTGGGGGTATCCCGAAAATTTAAATGCAGGTTGTTAGTGTGATGTTTAAACTAATATAAAATCAATTCATTTAATTTTTAAATATTTTTTCAATATTTAAAAATGTTTAAAAACTAAAAAATGAGACCAAAACAGTTCCACAGCTTATTTCAACCACTTATGAAATAACATTATATAACACTAAAATAACATAAAATAATAAGAAATTAATACTTAGTGTGACCACCCTTTTGGTTAACTATTATTTTAAGTCTTTTTGGGATAGATTCAACCAACTTTTTGGTGACTTCTGGAGTAATTTTGTCCCATTCTTCAACCAATGCAGCTTTTAGGTCCGATTTGTTGGATATATTGTGTTTGCGAATGTTTTTTTCCAAAATCGACCACAAATTCTCGATTACATTTAAATCTGGTGACTGGGCTGGTGGTTTCATAACGTGCGGACATTTCCAGATCAACCAAGTCTGGACAATTCCCGCAGTGTGTTTCGGGTCATTATCTTGATAAAATCTGAAGTCCTCCTTTATGCCCAGTTTCTGAGCACTTTGAATTAAATTGGACTTCAAAATATCAAGATATTTGCCTTTATCCATCGTAGTCTCAATGAACTCTAAGTTCCCAACGCCGGCTGCTGACATACAGGCCCAAACCATAAGGCTGCCTCCGCCATGCTTTACTGTAGCCCTCAAATGTTTTGCGTCAAGCTCTGTGTTAGGCTTACGCCACACATATGAGGGCCCATCCGACCCAAACAAATTAAATTTGGACTCATCGCAAAATAAAACAGTATTCCAGAATCCAATGTCCTTGTGCAAGTGCTCCTGGGCAAATTTTAAGCGACACTTCTTGTTTTTGTCGCTTATAAAAGGCTTCTTGCGTGGTACTCTGCCATTAAAGTCATGTTCCCGAAGCACACGGCGAATAGTTTCTGGGTGGCATGACTTGCCCAACTCCTCCTTAACATCATTGGCTACTTGTCGAGCCGATATCCTTGGGTTATCCCGGATTTTTCTCACAATATAGCGCTCGTCCGTGGGATTAAAAATTTTGTTTGGAGCATTTCTGCCTTTATCGTGGGTTCTATTTTCACGGACAAACCGGTATATGATGCTTTGAACTGTAGAATCACTAAATCCAACCATCTCAGCAATTTTTCTACGGGAATGACCATTTTTATAGTGTTTGAGAACGAGTTCCCGCTGCTCAATAGGTGTGCGTGGTCCCATGTTGCTAAATTCACTTTTCTGAAAGTTGAGCTTTCAAAATTCTGCAAAAATTTATTTTATCACAATGCGAAAACAGTGAATAAAGCATAGAACAAGAATCTACCGTTGCATTGCAAAATAACGGATCTTTCATCAGCTGCAAAGTTTGTGGTTGAAATAAGCTGTGGAACTGTTTTGGTCTCATTTTTTAGTTTTTAAACATTATTAAATATTGAAAAAATATTTAAAAAATAAATGAATTGATTTTTTATTAGTTTAAGCATCACACTAACAACCTACATTTAAATTTTCGGGATACCCTCAATAGTTTAGATTTTATAGCCCAACAAACTTTTTTTAAGGTGCTGGTTGAAATAAGCTGTGAACCACTGTATATTTGTACGCACAAATATTGTTTCGAATTCTGCGATTCGGCGGCAAGGCTGAAATGTCAATTTTTTAATCTTTTCGAAATTCAATTACCCACGCAGGATTAACCCCTCCGCATTGCGAGTTCGTTTCTAGATGAAATAATTGAAACGCAATTGTTTTTTGTTTTGCCGAAGTGGAATTTTATTTAATTAAATTTTCAGGGTGTACAAAGTTGTGGCTCTGTTAATTGTTTTTCTTTTCTGACTGCCTGTTGTGCAGACGGCGCCGCTACAAATTTGAATATTTTTTAAAGTTGACAATGTTTGCCGCGTAATTACACAACTTCCAAAGTGCAATCGAATCAGTTAACAAATATTTTAGAATTATACAAATTAGTTGTTTATGTCGCTTAATAAATACCTGTAATATATATTATGTATTCAAGTGTATGGGTGTTTGTGTTATTATATTTGATAAAAAGTAAAAGGCTATCGCACAATCTGGTGTATCTCTTCAGCAAAAAACTAAAAAAAAAAAAAACAATCTTGAATATTCCAAATCGGGTTTTGATTTTTTATATATTTTTTTATATTTGTAATATGTTTGCAGCAGTTTGCGTATAAATGTTTTTTGTGTTTTGCAATTTTTTCAAATGTTTTTTTTTTATTTTTTCATTTTATTTAATAAAAAAATATGAATTTCACTTCATGCTACATGGGCATGGCCTATTCTTTTTATTTTGCTTTAATATACTTGTATGTATGGTGTAAAAACATCTAACAAAAGGCTGAACGCAAATAATAAAAAATAACTTGGCGTCCCGCATGTTTTTATATTGTTTGCTTTTTGTTTTAATATATGTATATATAATACATACATATACATATTTGCATATATATGTATATATATGTATTGTAATTTTTTTTATTTTTAATTCCTTTTTTATTAAACATAAAAATCTTGCTTGATCGCATTTTATTTTTCACACTTGTTTCGCGCTTTAGCGCCCTCATGTTTTCGTGAACTTTTCATATATGATATATATATATGCATATATGTACATATTTTTTTTTATTTTTTACATAGATTTTGCAATTTTTTTGTATAATTTTTTGTTTTATATTTGTTTGTTTTTTAAAAATTGTATCTTTCTCTCAACGTATTGATTACTGTTGGTTTTCAAAGTAGCAAAAACTTGACTCTCATATTCTTGCGGTTTGTTGGTTTTTTCTTCTCCTGCTCTATATCTCTCGTTTACTTTTACATTTTTCGTTTTTATTTATTTTAACATTTTTGCAATTTTTTTGTATTATTTTTTTAATCTTTTTTAAAAGTAGCTTTTTCCGTTCAAATGACGGAAAAATTTTAGATTTGACTTTCATATTGGTTGGATGTTGAAAGATGTGAAATATAAGTGTGAAAATTATTTTTAAAAGTTATTGATGTTACAAGAAACTTGCCGATAAGGCTAAACAATTTCAATTATTCGCCCGATTTTTCGCTATTTGCATTTATATTCATTTATTTTGCATTTTTTACGCATACAAAATAAACATTTCAGTTCAAGCTAAAAAAAAATTATATATATGTATATAAATATATATATATATATATATACATATGTATACATATATAAACTTACATATGTACACACATGTATATAAACATATTTATATATATATATAGAAAAATGTTTGAATTTACACATTTTTCCTTGTGTGTTTGTTTTTGTTTTATCTTTTTTCATTTTAGTTTGAAAAATCCAAAAGAATGAAAAATATATATATATATATAAAAAAAACATCTGCGCCTGTTGCATGTTGTTTTTTTGTAAGCAGGTATCTAATTTCCTCTGCGTTGTGGTCTTGCGTAAATGCGTTCGAAATTAAATGATTGAAATTGATTATATGTCGTTGCCCTATCGGGATAGAATAGTTACTCGGCTATTTAGAAGGTTTTCTCTCATATTCTCTAGCCATTAAGTTTGTTGTTCATCCAGTTTTTGTTGTGTTATTCGCTGCGTTTTTTCTTTGCTTGAGCATCAATAAGCGAATTCTTGTTCATTTTTTTGAGTTTTTTTCTGATAAATTTTTGAATTGAAAGTGAATGTGGGAAAAAAACTGTAAAGAATACGAACACTGATAAATAGAGAGATGATAATCATTTATAAACAATTGTGGTTTACCTACATTTTTGGGTGTCGAGTGATTTGTAAAAATTTTAATCCGCTTTGTTTTTCGAGCTTAGTTTGCTGGCTCGGTGACACGATGCACCTGTAGCACAGCGACCGCCTCCTCCACCTTGGCCTTGAGTGCCTCCTGATCCTCCAACATGTGCAAAAGCTCAGAGTTCTCAATTTCCAGCAACATACCAGTAATCTTTCCAGCCAATGTGGCATGCATACGCTCGATCATTGGATACAGACGTTCGCCAAGAATCTGTTTCTGTTCCTGTGGCTTGGCATTAGCCAACAATGAGGCAATGAGTTTCTCTTGGTCTACAATAATAAAGATTAGTATGATTACAAAATGTTGCTAAGCCGTCTTTAGTATGTGAGTAATTACTTTTGCCCTGCAACTGCGATGGCAAAGGCTGCGCCTGTTGCATCTGTTGTACTGGAGGGTTGCGCATGTTAGAAGTGTACTTGTAGCTTGCAGCACGTTGCTGAGCACCACCAGCAATCTGAGCACCTGCGATTTGCATGTTGGGAGCGGCCACCGATTGCTGGCCTGTAATAGCGCGTGCACCTGAGCTACGCATGTTATTGGCCGCAGCGGCTGCAGCAGCAGCGGCGTGTGTGCCCTGCACTTGGGGCTGTGCGCCACGCGCACCGGCTCCAGATTGACGGAACTGAGTGGGCACTGCACCGGCTGCACCCTGGAAGCCACCGACAGCGGCGGAGGCAGCACCTGAGCCGGCGCCGGCCTGTACACTTTGTACCGCTGTAGCGGGACGCATTTGTTGTGGTGCCCAGCGCGGCGTGCTGCGCATTTGAGTGGTTATCTGAGGGCCGAAGAAACGCTGGCTGGGCGCCATTGTGGGCATAAAGAAACCGCCAGCAGTATTTGGCTGGAACAACTGTCCCAATTGTTGCATACGCATGCCTGTCATGTGACGCATGTACTGCGAGGCAAGGTGCGCTTTGCGCTCTTCCTTACGCTGGGCCAGTGCAACATACAGGGGCTTGCTGCCTATCACACGGCCGTTTAGTTCAGTCACGGCGCAAGTGGCC